CTGTTCGAACGAGGGGGTCGCATTTTGGTCGGAAGGGGGTCGCAATTCGAGGACTGCCATCCACAGGCGCGTGCGTGGCGTATCCGAGGGCAAGAATTGTTTGTGCACACCGCATTAGATTCGATTAATCATGCACAGAGAGACAGTTTCAGGCAAATTACGGTGTTCTCCTTGAGGAATAGAGAACAGTTGAATACATCCCTATGAAAGGTTTGACTTCTCGGAGCTGAAATTGAAGTTCTTCGGGACCTGATTTTTTGAGGACGATTCTTCCAGACAACGGTAAAACAAATAAGAAAGCAGAAATCTCGTAGTCTTCAAAAATGTCTTCGCCCCTCCCCAACAAATTTTTTGAAGGAAGTTATTATTGCTGAAAGCTCAAAAACTCGCATGTGGTGCCTCAAAAACCTATGGGAAACAAATGTTCAAACGTGCGATTTTTCTCGGAAAATAAATTTTGAAAACGGTTTGGTGCTTGTCAAAAAGACCAATTCTGTGCTTTCACAACTTGAAAATAGGGCATCTCAGAATGAAAATGAATTGAGTTATGCCGCGCTTAAAGCCCAAAAACTCGCGATTTCAAAAAAAGCTTTTGGCCAAAACCCCCCAAAATGTTCGAACGTGTGATTTTCTCGAAAAATGAACTTTGAAAAACGGTTTGGAGCTTGTTATATAAGAGGCAAATCCTGTACTTTACACTTTATGAAAAGTGGCATCACAAAATGAAAATGAAGTGAGTTATGGTCGCTGGCCCAAAACTCGCTTCGCACGAAAAATGTTCGAACGGCGGACAAGTTTTTTTCGAAAAAGGACAATCACTAAACTTTTACTTTTTTTTACTTTTTTTTGTGAGAAACCATTTGAAGTTTCTGAAACTTTCTACCAGATTTCCAAAATGTCGCCATACGAAAGATATTATGGGCCTTCAAGTTGAAGGTGCACCTTTTTAGAATTTTGGGTTTTCCACTTCTTACAGAAGTACTTTCCGGAGAGTTAGGCAATCCTTGTAGTTTTCTGGAAGCTCACCTCAGGCACAATCAAAATTTACCTCAACAAGTCAAAAAAATACGTCCCAAGAAAGTCCCTCTAAAATTTTTTCTTCGCCGCGTCCCGTTCTTCCAGCGCCCGGGTGATATGTACGTGCCGCGCTCCAAGGCCGACGCGACGACGGGCAGACGCTTTCTGGCGCAACAGATTCACGTCTAGCACTCTTATTAACAAAAACAGGGGGGTCGCAACTGGACCCTTTCGAGAGCTAGGGGGTCGCAAAAATCCCGAAAATATTCGAACATGACGGTTGACCCTGGTTTGACAACAGAATGGGGTTCTTATGCCATCGGTGGGTGGAGCACACACTTTTTTGCACAGTTCCTCCACCCTTGAGCTCCTCTACCCTTATTCCTAGCAAAGGTGTCTATTCTCCAGGTCAGGACCGTTTTCTTGGACCATGGTAGCGGAAATGTGGAAGCATCTCACGATTGCTTCTATATTACACCGGTACCTATCAGAAGTATACTATGAATGAGTCGATTACGTGTCATAAGCGCTCTCATCCTTATCTTGAGCATTGGAGAAACAAGGGAGTGGCACCCCCGAACTGGAGGTTCGCCCATCGAGACATCCTATATAAAGAGAAGAAAGAGTCAGGAGTATAGTCTGACTTTAAGACAGGGTTAATAACGGTCGAGGAATTCCTCGACCATAGCTCTCTACCATGTAGGAGTAGTGCCGAGAGTGAACATCCGCGCGGAGAGCACAGGCGGCACGCCCATGGCGAGTGTGAATGTCCGCGCGAGAGATCGTGTCTGATCGGGCAGAGAATCCTCGACGTGTCGTTGAGAAATCCTCAAGCGATATTCACCCTGCTTCAAAATATCGCAGATAAGGAGGTGTCCTCCATAGCTCGACTTTTCGACACTTCCCGAGAAAACTCAGCGAAGCTCAATGGAGCTCGGTACGATCGTCGAAGAGACACAAGTGCAAAAAGCAGGGCCTATGTTTTTTATGGCCGTTATTTAGGCGAAGCTTAACCAGCCTTATCTGATCGCTTCATTTTTCCTCTCGCGTCGCATTAGAAAATTCCTTTCGCAAGAAATTCTTCGGTGCCCTCGCAACATGACCCCAATCGCATGGCGCTTCGCTGCAGCAACTGGAAAGATATAATATCAACAAATAAGAGAAAATCCAAAAGTTCAAAATCGCGCTCCGCGATACTCCGGCCTCCAAGGGAGAGGTGGGGGTTGGGGAGGGATTTAAAAGTTATCCTTTATTCCCAGTCGCTTGCAAATCGTGGAAACCTTCTTTTCGCAGCCGACAGTTCCCGCAGCGTCTCCTTGATTTCGTCTTCTATTTCCTCCGCCTTATCTGGCCAATCACAAACTGCTGAATGATGACCCATTCGAGTACAGTGAAAACAACGGTTCCAGAACTTCGGACACGTAGAGTCGGCGAGACAGCCTATCTCGAGACGATCTTGCAGCGGTTCTGTTTTTTCAGAAGGAGCTTTCTTCGCACGCTGTCACGTATTTTGGGGCAAGAGTCGCTATAGTGTTTACCGCGAACACCACAGAACGAGCACCGCATCTTTGACTCCTCGTCCTTGTTCACGCCATGAACGTACTTCCTTGTAGGACACGAGAGCTCCTCCTCTAGCGAATGGATACGTATCTCCAACGCATAGATCTTCAGCAACATCGTGCGTCTCACATGGTCCAGCGCCTCGGCTTCTTCAGGAGACAGTTCTGGCTCTTCCACTTCCATCTGTGGTCTTTCAGAATCTCGCACCTTGACAGCAAACTCATTTTCTTCAGCATGCCATTGACTTATCTGATCCGCCATCTTGTCGAGTGAACTCTGCATGACCGAAATCGATTTGGACAACGCTTCTTGAGTCGTTTCTTGCATCGCTCGTTCTTCGTTCAGTGCCATTGCCCTCATATTTCAGATCGCCATGTACAGCTTGTTGATGTCTCTAAGTTCGTCGTCGACAAGAGTCTCCACGGTGTTTTTATCGATTGACAGTTCGTGCTCGTGGCCATCAGCGTCGTAGTAGAATTGCGGCTCAGATATCATCGAGTCCCAGGCTGTCTGAGAAATCTTCTTCGTCGCGATCAGAATTGGTGGTGAAGCATAGAGGGTTCTAAGGGTCTGGCGAAGGAGGAGGAAACGGAGTTCGCAATTTTCTGTTTTTGCTCTAAAAGATGCGCGTCTCGCTCCAATTCCCCCCCCCCGCGCTTATTAGACTGAGTAAAAAATGGAATCTCATTATGCAACTGATCCAGAATAGCGCACTGATACATGATATCACGACAAGTGTCAACAATCTTCTCTAGAAGAGCCTCCGGCGCCGGGAGTTTTGGAAGGGCACGAAGAAGGGCTTTGTAATCGCGTTGCTGCTTTCTGAAGTCGTTGCACCGATCGTTGTGGCCCATAACTGAAACAATTATATGAAAATGAAGAAATTTCAGTATGTCTTGCCTAGGGGTTTGTTCTGGGTTTGCAAGGAATCGCTTTCTTGTCTTTCGCAAAATGATTTTATGCATTTTCGGATCATCATTTTTGGTAGTGTGTACACAAACAACTTTACTATTCGCAAAAGCATCTTCGCGATGTGAAAGGTTATTGCTGGGATGTAAAGGTATGACAAAATGATCGCGATTATCATCATAATCTAAAGAATAAACGCTGTTTTGTACCATGATGATAAAAAATCTAGTATATGTGGAAAGTCTGGCCACTGAAATTCGCTGTATTCTTTGGTTTCGCCTTTTTGGATTCCATTCGAATTACAAGGCTATGCGCTTTCTCTAAAGCGTCCTGAGATTCTTCAATGTAGCCCTGAATTAGCTTATCTTGCTCTTCCGGAAGTGGATCAACGAGATTATCAACCGCTTGAGTAAACCCGTTCAGGATGTTTTCTAACAACTTCATGCTTTCCGTGAGTGCAGTTACGCCTTCGACCAAAACTGTTAGTGAACATGCACTATCCAAATTGGGCTCATATTCCCCTATCAAACGGAGAAGCATGTTCTTATACCTTGTTAGAAGTCCCTTCTGGTGCGCAAAATAGTCGGACCACTCATATCGCAACTTTAGGTTAATCAGAAAAATCAGAATCTTCACAAAAGAGCAAATCGAGATGAATCGAAAACAGAATCGCTCAACTCAAAACCAAGGGGAAATCTTACCTGTATCTTGCGGTCCTTATCGAATCCCGATGCACCATAAGAATGCCACGCGGATACAGTTACAATAATAGCCGAGTTTTACTGGCTACTTCTGACAGGAATACCAAAATATCGGATATAATCAACCACTTGACTACGTATACCATCCAATCGACCAAAAAATACGATAATCTCAATCATAACTCCCAGTGAGAGGAAAAATGATAGCAAAGAGGCAACTCAGCGAAGCTCAATGAAGCTCGGTACGATCGTCGAAGAGACACAAGTGCAAAAAGCAGGGCCTATGTTTTTCATGGCCGTTATATAGGCGAAGCTTAACCAGCCTTATCTGATCGCTTCATTTTTCCTCTCATCGCATTAGAAAATTCCTTTCGCAAGAAATTCTTCGGTGCCCTCGCAAACATGACCCCAATCGCATGGCGCTTCGCTGCAGCAACTGGAAAGATATAATATCAACAAATAAGAGAAAATCCAAAAGTTCAAAATCGCGCTCTGCGATAAACAACTTCAAATGCAGGTTTTTGGGAAATTTTTTGATGGAAGTATCATTATGCGGCGCCGTGTGTACTAGCCACTATCCTTTGTCTCATCACCGACCCACATCTCTTTACGTTCATCTCACGACAGTCTGGAATCTGCGTGGGCAAGTGAAGCTAGGAAATCTAAGCTAGTCGCGCTTGTATCAGAAAATGCACAGCTTATCTATGCGGTCACATCAACATTGTTGGTTCATGTGGTTTCTTAGCAAATCGAATCTATGAAGGGAATTCAAGTATTTACAGCGGAGCCTCGCTAGTATATACGCTTATTCGCATGTTCATTTATGCTGGATGCCTGGGCTTGATCCTGGTGTGTACCACGGCTATTTTCAGGAAACGGGTATGATTTATCAAAGTTTTTCACAAGATTTCATTCTTTGACTAAACACAACACTCATGTGTCCAAGACTGTACCTTCACACCATGACGTGTGTAGTGCGATCTGTTCCGACAATATTACGCGGTTGATATACATTGTACAGTAACGTATATTTGTTTTTAGGAAGGGCGTTCACTGCCTCAGCAATCACACGACTACTCAGATTTTATTCGCAGAAATCGAGCCAAGCAAGAAGTTCTCAGCAGAGCGAAGCTGGTGAGTTCCTTGCTCCATCTGAATGTTTTACAGGCATGGTCATCACTTTCATACCTGCAGCGTAGGTAAAAAGTCTGGTGACAAATAAAACAAAAGACAAAACAAAAAATACAACTCATTTTTTTCTGAGATTGCTCGATTTCAGATTTTCAAGATTTCATGGGCCTTGAGTAGTCTAGGTGATGAGTTTTATTCGCTATCTCGATATCGTCAAAGGTCTTGACGTCAACGCCCTTCTGGCGTACGCAGTTTCTGCAACACCGGCCAGGCGCTGTAGTCCAGCGGGTTGAGATCAGGCGAATCCTATGGCCACACCGTATGTGGTACGAATGCGGGCACGTGTGTCTACCAAAATTGTGTCTGCTTCACCTTATGAGCGAGCGCTGAGTCTTGGAAGCATTATTTCCGGTTCTGATATGTGTTTTGGCCCAGAGAAGCAAGACCTCCAAAATATTCAAAATGTAGTAACTTTGTTGGTCGCGGCTACCAGATCCAAAAATCAGGGTGTCTTGCGTGACTAGCATACACACACTGCGCCAGAACTGTCAGCATAATAGGTGCTTGGAACGCTTTGCTATTGCTTATCGACCTCCTGGGAACCAGTCGCGAGTTCTGATGTTTTGGATATTTTTTGTGAGCCTAGGGCGTCTCTTCATCTTGTAAGGATACGTTCCTAGTTCCGTATTAAAGGCAAATTTTGGGCTCAGCTTCTCAAGAAGCCCCTGCCATGACTAGAAGTGTTGGGCACGCAAGCGCAAGGTTAGCGCCACCTTTCTACTTCGAAACCCGTCACCAGGACCCTAGGCGCCATGTGAAACATTCGCAAGGCGAACTGCAGCCACAAACAGTAGTTAACAAACAAAAACAAGTCAAAATTCATTGCTAAAGTTTCTAGCCTCGCGGTCATTGCCGATATAGGCTAACAGGCTCAACACGCTATACGTGTGATGCTGACAAGCTATGGCATGTATACCATTATGAGCTGAGTTGGGATGAAATGGTGCCCCGGTAGCGCAACTGGTAGCGCTTGTCCGGAAAACGAGGGGTGTGGGATCGAATGCCGTCTGGGGCGAAAGTTTTGTTCACAACCCAGCATACTTGTGAAACTAGTGATTGTATTGTGGCAAAATCTGGTGATATGTCCTCTGAGGGATGGCTATGAATATGAATAATAATACATACATACAATTACAGTGCGTTTCAATAGGGGGTCTACTGAAAACTGCTGTTCTGGGTTGAGATGACAGAGCCATGGGGGCTAAATAGTTTGTTGAAATCAGCACACTGAAACCACAGTTCACTTCCTTTCAGAAAACAACATGGGCTAAAAACGTTATCAAAGAAAGATCGAAAAACCCCCTGTTCCAAAAGCATAGAACACCGTGGGCAAAACGATTTAGAAGCGAAACTTTTTTCGTCCTGTCGATTCACTTGCGATTGAGCATGTTCAGTGAGGCACACTTCAGTAAGCATGTACGATTTAGCGTTCCACAAGGGAACGTCCAGATGGTACTGCGACGTCTTAGCGCACCTGAGCTCAAAGCTTTGCTGTTCGCTCACGGCATATATTCACTTCACAACAGGGTGAAAATCGTGTCGAGTACGTGGTCGCAGAAGTACGTCCCCCCCCCCGAAATCGAGATCCTGGCACGAAAACCCCCAAAACAGAGCAAATTAATTCAATCAAATAATCAAAAAAACCCTGCAAAATAATGTTATGGACGCCTCCTCTTGTCATCTATGCACTGTCTTTCATCGTGCACACTTTTGTGTATTTACTGAAATATGACTCGATGAAAGAGGCATCAACTTTGTGTGACCTCAAAGTCAGGTTCGTTCAGAAATGCACAGAAATCCTAAAGGCATGGGGTTGGGATTTAATCTTAATTCCTGCTTGCATATATCGAAATAGCCGAGTGTATCAATCAACGGCCGATTCAACGGCAGCTGCGGCGCGATTGTTAGTGGGTCAGATTTGCTGAAATCCCAAAAAAAAACCGTCGAAATCTACACCCTCCATTTCATAGCATTTGAAGCAGTTTGAGGTAAGCTTAGATAGAGCTGGGTTTCGCGTTTCCACGATGTATTGAATTTGCTATGAAAGACTTCCATGCAGAAAGATAGGGTCTCGCAAATTTCGTCGAGTAAACGTCGAGGATGCTGAAATTTTCATGCTAGTTTTTACCACTTCAAAAGCAATACCTCTATAATGTCGTAAGGCCCTGAAAAAGGGAAGACAGTTTTGGAGAGCGAAAGGTTAGCGCTTCCCGATGATCTGCTTGGATTTTCCCACATCTTAGTTGTGGAGATACTTGCATCGAGGATCTATCAAGGATGATTCTCGGCCGCTCAAAAAGCCGCTACCTTCTTCACCATTGCAAGTGTAACTGTTCGCAACGCTTGAAATGGGTCTAGAAAACACTCTCCCAACATAAGCAATAGGAAAAGGGGCAACCGCCGTCATCGAATTTTGTCTGAGTGTAAGCCATGCATCCGACCTCACTCGAACTTGCAGAATCGATTCGAAGGTGACATATGATCATGACTAGTTGACAGAAGCTGCATTGTAGTAAACGCATTTCGTAACTCTTACGATCTAAAGAACACCTTCATTTGCCCAGGGCTTTCCTTCACGGTTGTCGTTTTGCGACAGGGTCCCTAACAACAGTGTCATTCTCAGCGAGGTATTAGGTGTTTCAGAAAGTTCTGTCGTTTTCCAGCCCTAATTTTAAATGCACGTATTCGGCTTGGCTAAACCTTTCGAGTTGATTAAGAATCATTTGAAAGCGCGAATCTTGTTCTATAGAGAAACCGTTCAACAGGGTACGTTTATTTGGAATGCTGGACCTCTGGAGGCGATGAACTGAGGAAGGTCGTTTTAGCATCATGTTGGTTTTTTGATGGTCTTTGCTCTTCAAGGAACTATCGAGATCGTCAGAAGTTTGACAGTAGATAGTTCAAGGGTCTACTAAGTAAGATGTTCGCAGAACCACTCTGAAGTTCAGCTGTACAACTTGTGAAGGGTTGGCCGTGCGATGTGCGTTCAAGACACCTTTCAGGGATGTGTGTGTTCCTTTATAATGAGGAATGCTGGACCCATGTCCTAGAGTTTTGAATGATTTTTGAATTAGTATAAGATTGATTCTCCACTGTAACAGTTCCAATCTGATACTGAAGAACATGGCCGCCGCTGGCCCATGAAAGCTGCTACAAACCTCCTCCAGGCACAGTTTTAAAAGTTCTGCAAAGTCTTAGAGGCTTCATCGCCGTCGAATCTATTACAGCAAACTTTCGTGAGACTAGTAGAGAAGAATCCTCCCTTTATTGTACTCGTCGCAAATCTGTAGAGAAACGAGTCGCTTTCAACCACATAAAAACCAGCGACAATTTTTGATAGACGATGCTTCAAATTGTGAGTTTGTCGCACGAACCACTATGAATTTTTTAGACTTTCCAGCTTCTTCCGTATAGCTTGGCTGTACAAACCATATACGCCCACGTTGGGCAGAACCTCCTCTATGGTCTTACGCACAAGTGCTTCAATCAGAACTTTTGGCTAATCGGAGACACCGTCCGATGTCCGACCACTACTCTCATCATATTCAAGGCTCTCGCCTTCCTTACAATAAATTTTTTAACTACTGCTTCTGAGCACATTTATTGCAAATCTAGGCCCAAAGCATCGTTGATATCTTGAACTGATCCCGCCACTTTCAGGTCTATTTAAAGCTAGAAAAAGAAAGTCATGCCAGCTTGCTCCTCGAGTACACTGAATTCAATGCTTTGAAAAAGCTATAAGAAAATATTTTAGGATAAAGTTGTGCTGAGCATTGGATAGAGCTGGAAAAGTTCTTCAAAATGACATTAACATCAATTGCAGCTTTCCTAGATTTCAAGGGAAATAAAGCATCCAAAAGTGGAATGTCAGAAAACGACAGAACTTTCTGAAACACCTAATATTAAGGGAGTAGGAGCGAGCGATAGGCAAAGGAGGTGCCTTTGCAGCGCGTGCGCATATGTGGCAGTCTTCTTCGCGGGGACGCACTTTCATTCTTTGTACTACCTTCACTTTCTTAATTTTCAGGCTGTTTTGCTGGTTTGCATATTCATTTTTGTGCAGGGACCGTACATCTTACTATGTTTTACATTTGAGGTAGGGTGCTGTGATTTCGCTAGCAATGAAAGTATGAATTATGATTTTCGTTCCAGATCTTCAGCAGCAGTCTCACGAACACTGATCTGGATATACCACAGGATGTTGATACCCTTATCACCTGGCTGAAGTTCCTCTTTCCTTTGCTGTCACCCATCGCTGTGAGGCACAGTCACACATCTTTGCTTAATTATACATTTATTTGTCTATTTACTATTTTTTTATTTACGCATTTGTTTGTTACACACAACCACATAAAGAAATGCACAACTCACACAAACCTGAAAAAATATATTACGACAAGTGGTGGCCTCGAATCCTGCCTAAATAAAACAATTTGCTATCCCATAAGGAACAATATTCTGCATTTATTTTACCGACCTCAACCGCATCTGATGTAGGACCTTGAGTCGCTCAGGCACGCTATTGGTGCCTTTATTCATCTCGGACCATTCCTAGAGCAGCCTGTGAAGATTCTACATAGTTCCTGAGCAAGAACCAATTCCCAGCTTCACCAGTTGAGCGAATTTGGTTCATCAGGTACATCAGTTGGGCGAATATGAACTAATATAACGATTTCATAGACGTGTATATACTTATATACAGTAACGATCAAAAGTGTTCGCCGAAACGATTTTTAGTGCATTATTTTTTCTCGCTTGAGCATCGCTCTTCAGTTGATATACTATTATATGTTTTTAGTATTTTTTATATCAAAGCCTTATAGAATCAGGATATTCGAAAGAAGAAATTTCCGAGGCCACCATCAATTCTTATTCTGGCAAAAAAAAAGAGAAACACGGAAAACGGTTACGGCGAACGACGAACACTTTTGACCGCTACAGTACCTATGTAGGCATGGTGAATAGAGGTGGGAGGGGAGGGGGGGGGGAGTTAGGGAATGAATTACTTCGCCCATTAGGCACCCTAACAGACATTTCGTCGCGCAGAGTGCCGCTGTTGATGGAGTTTTCACGGCCGACTATTCCGTAGATGTCCCCTCATGTGCAGAAGCAGGCCCTCCTCTACTTTCTTCACCGCCCGCAGGATATGACACAACTACCATCACTGTTGAGCTCAAGGAGGCCTATCGTAAAGGCACCGGCCTGAAGCTGCTACAATTTTTTTTCAAACCGTCGACTGATGTATGACTTTCTAGAAACTCTAGATCTGACTGTACAAGACTGCTTGCAACCAATTTTTCAAATAAGGTAGTAATGCCACGCATCCGTGGAGGTCCTCGTTGAGCAAATTGTGCACCATGTAACCGTGGGAAAATCTCCCGATCTTGTTGTGAAGAAGGGTATGGGATTTTCAAGTAGATTGGCATGGCTATTCTGCACGTATTTGGCTGCATTCGGCTTGAGTTTGGCGAAGTATAAATATTCTATTTTAAATGCGGGGGAATTTTGCCCCTGTAGTGGCAACCTGCAAACAACTTTTTCATTCTCAGCCTTCAAAACCAATTAAGAATCGCCCCGAATTCACGCAGTAAACATATGGTCAAATGGAAGCCGCCTATTGCAAATTTATTAGTTAGAGTGAAACCCATGATAGAAGCTGATTGCGGTAGGACAGGGCTATGGTCAAAACACCCAATAGAATATTTTGCTCACTACCATACATTTCCTATTTTTTTACTTATGTATTCATTCATTTATTCATATACTTATAATGATAACTGATCTTTAGATCTTGTGCTGGTGCTCGGACATTTCTGGTAGTGTCAAGGAACTGTTCCTGTGCCGCTCATACGATCCTCCCATGATTGGATCCAACATCATTGGATACAAGGGTAAGCTGGCCACAATTAATACGCGAGAGCCGACACTGCCGACGGTCGGGGGAGCAAATTCTCTCTGACAGTGGCACGACAGCCAGCCGGTCGCCTCTGTATTCCTGCACTTCGTCGCGGTAGGGGCCTCTTGCACTACCAACACTCTCTAATACGCAAATTTCGAAGTGCTCGAAGGTTCAAATGAACAGTAATGTTAGGTCGTCGAATATTGGGTACAATTTCTGCAACAACACTGAACGACCACCTGTTCACAAATCACAGTGAAGTCTTACCTATAAATTCAACAATGGTATTCACATGCAGTCAGTCGACACCGATACCTCACCACTAAATTTACTGTGTGGCGTTTGCATGGTCAACGTTGGAAATCGCAAAAGAATACCCACTACTTATCGTAATCTCACTATTCTTTGGAATTACAATTTCTTGAAGAGATGGGTTTTGCTTTGTGAATATGAAGTATCAGTATACAAATACAAATTCTAATGATAAAACAGTGTTAACCACATTGCACCTTCAATGCTTTTCGTTTCATTTCATTTCTTTCTCCTGGTTAGTCAGCGAAGCTTCTCACATATACAATAGAATGTAGGAGTGTCATATTTAGAGTAACCCAGCAGCATTTCACATTGGCATGGAGGAGGGGCGTGTTCGGCAAGTTTCACGAACAACTTCAATTGCTCCAGTGCCAGTGGCATCGAGCCGCAGCTCTTCTCGCAACGCCACATGAAGCTCTTCTCCGTGGCATCCGGCAGCGGAAGGCAAGGCTTGCGGATCCGTCATTCTCCAGCCCGTCACTGCAGTGAGCGGTTGCTTTGAACGACCTATTCGATTGACTTCTCCCGCCCACTATCTCCAGTACGAGATAGTAGCTACGAATTTCCTCTGTGTTACATCACCCTTCAAGAAATCGTCGATCCGCTTAGCGGGTAACTTTTTGGCGGAGCCACGAGAATACTAGTTCTACTCTTCCACTCATTTAAGATTCTAATTATCGATAGTCAGATGCATCATTTGATCTTGTGTTTTGATATCGGTGCCAGAGGTCTATTCGTATAACATTGGTATAACAAGTTAACTTGTAACTAGAAGGCGACCATTGAATGACCTGTGCTTTGACCTGCATATTCTTATGAACACTCCGCGTGCTGCATTGGTTCAGGGTGTCAAGTAGAGTTCGGTTCGATTCCCATTGATAGACGGGACCGCGCTTCGAGACGCAGTTGACCTCCTGGTCAATAATGATCGCTGTCGATGATTTAAAAGGCCATGTTTAGAGAAGGCAAATTTTTAGGATCATCCTCGAAGGTAATCGTAAATTGGAATCGTTCCAGTTCTGAGGTAGCGGAAAACAACAACTGTTAAGAGAAATGGAATATGTCCAGCAAATTCAGCAAGACTAACCTTCCACCCTATGGACTGGCCGACAACCTATCTCATTGGTGTGATGAAAAAGAAAGATTACGTTCCGTTGTTGTTTCGGGGATTGAAAAAAACAGAGGTCTATCCACTCTTCGTCGCGCTCACATGATCTGGATTGTGCTAGAGAACTATCGGCTCTTTTTTCAAATGTTGTTCTCCTACTAAATTCTACAAGCTAGCGAAAAGTACTGGTGGCCCCTAGATCCTTTCTAGAACTTCGAAGATGGAAGTACTCCATATTCCAGGGATACGGACTTTCGAAAATATAGGTCTGGCCGTCGTATCCACATGCTGAAAGTGAACGTCTCAGCGGTCTTTGCTTGTAGCATAAAATGTCACTGGTGTTCCTACTAATTCTTGTTGCTCATTCAGAGACACAGCTCAACTCTAGGATGACTTAGGAAGCCTTCCGGCGATCTTTGCCGAAATTACTTCATTTTAGGGTGTGATCGACGCCGGGAAAAAGGCGGTGTTATGTTGATGTTATGTTTGCCAAACAATCTTTTATCAAGAAGCGCTATATTTTTCAGGCAAAAATTAATGTGAAGCGTGACGTGCGAGATTAGGAAGATTTTGTAGATATTGGAAAACTTGGCCGTGCTCGAAGCAGAAATACTGCGATACTCGAGGGAAATACGCCACGATAATTTTTGAGCAGGTTGCGGTGGTGAACACATTGACTGAGTATTTATCGTTGATTCACGATTTCATCGCCACTTTGCGATCTTTGGGAGCAGGAGTTCTCAAGCAGCAGCAAGACTTCGAAGAATCGTGTCAATCGTGCTACCGGCCCACATCGATGCAGTGCAGACCTCGATCCAGGAGCTCACTGAGATCGACAGTATTTCTCAATCACAACGTCGAGCAGCATCGCCTCCGGTCGTGAAGATTGACGAGCGAACATGGAGTATATGGACGAAGGAATCATGAAGGCATAGATGTCGCTCGTAGAACCTTGAAAGCTAAGATCAGAAGATTTCGAATTCAGTAATGTCAGAGGACGCAGCCGCGTAGACAAAGGCAATATTCGATAAGAATGCAACCGGGTCATCCGAATGAAGCACGCATGCGTTGCATATTCTGCGGAACTCGTAGGGATCGCTACAGCGACTCCTATGGCAAAAGTAAAAGGTGCTTTCTAAAATATTTCTGGAAAACATCGTTGATGCGTCAACTGTCTGCAATAAGATGTCCAGAATAGCAAAGTGCACCAAATTTTGGACGTAGTGTCCCAGTTGAGAGCAGTAGGACCACCATACCGCAATATGTGAGCAAACACTCAAACCCAAACAGGTCGAGGAAGACATCACCAGCATTGCTGTCGAATTATCACAGTCGCTCGAGAAGTTGAATCCTACTCGAATGACATTTTGAATGGATATTTCCTTCTCATCACACCTTGAGGGGCAGGGATACTGTATTGCAGTGGGGCTATGTTTTTCTTCCGTAGGCAAAAATTGTTGCTAAGCGCGACGTTCCAAATCTGGAAAAATGTCAGGCAACTATGGGAAAAACTCAGGCGCCGCGATCTGGTATCAAAGATGCATATAAGAAGCTGGCGAATGCGAACCAAACATCTTTTCTGATTTTCCGTCCTTCAGGTTTTTTCTCTTTGTGGCCGATTATTATTGATCCTTATGAGATGTTTTGCATTATAATCAATTTGCGTGATACTTGTTTTGCATGAAAATTCTCCTTTTTAATTTTTATTATCTAAGTTCAAGAAGAGTGAATGGTCAACTCTAGTGTCCGTGCGTCAAGAAAAGTCATCCCGTGTGAGAACCACGATTATATTTTTTTCCTAATACCACTTAATAGAAGTGCTGAATGGGTATGAGATACGCTATCCATATTTCAGCTCCCAGTTGTTTCTATCGGCTGATTTAGTTAGACCTTTTAAGTGTAGTTTTGGTATTGCAGAGCAATTGACCTAACGCATTAGACACGGGGCAAAATTACTTCGCCCCGAAGATAGCAGCATTCGATCTCTAGCCGATCTCGTGTTCTAATCATTGCCGAGATGACTCTGTAACATTCATGTTTCTGTGCATTCAATTCGCAAAACAGACGAGTGTATGATGAGGCTGGCATGCGCACAAGTCTTCTGTCTCACGCGGCGAAAAGCGATCACGCAGATCTATTCGCAATTCTGCTCCATTCAGAACGCATGAGGATTACATCCCTTCCTTGCATATACTTCCCAAGGCGCTTTAATAACTGACTTCGTTCACTAGTGATCAATCTGCCCCGGCATTCTGTATTGTTCCGTCCAGCCGATGGTGTACCACGATAAGCTCACCCCAGATCAGGGTATTCAGAAGATGATCGTGCTCACAATGTAAGGAGGGGAAGATTGAAGAAAATAAAGGTGATACAAGAAGAGCAGCGAAGATTTTTCGTCTTATACCAGCATTGATGCGGAGGAACAGGACGGAGTAGCTTCTATTTGATGTCTCTGATTGACAAATGCTGTTGAATGATCACTGCAGTCTGACCAAAATCATCATCTGCAACTGAGTAGTAGGCAGTGCTATGAGAACACATTATTCAATGCGTGCCTGTAGGCATAGGCAGAGGCAATAAAGTATGCATCACCTACCATTCATTCAGTCACACCTCAGATTCATTCTTCAGGCATGGGAGTGGTACCAAGTGTTATGACATTGGTGGCAACACCGGAAGGTCTGCAGTTGAAGCTACCATCCTCTGGCGCTACTCCATCTATGAGCAACTTTTTGCCACGACATGCGGCTGCTCCTCAATTCTGGCCTCAGTGAGGTTCGTTCACATTAGAAAACAAACGAACACTATGTGGTAACGAAAGCACTGGAAATCAAAAAAAAATGTTTGGTTTTGCATCATTTCCAGGGAAAACTGTCGTTATTTCGTCAACCCCAAGGCTCATTGAAGATTTGGGATTGTTGAAATGAAGACACATAGATAGCGAAAAAATCGATGTAACTACTAATGCTACTATGCAGAGTGCCGTGCGGTAAAAGTAAAGGGATACAGTGTGTCCCAAAACTATAGGTTCACCCCATTTTTCTCAGATATCTCTTCAAGAAGTCAACCCTTCTGCATCAAAACTTGTTTGCCACAGGAGCAATAAAACTGTTCGGAAACTATCCCCATGTTTCAAGAGAGGCGGACATGGTGAATATTGCTTCGCCTTCAGTCTTTTGCTGCATAATATATAATAAAAGTAACGTCGTGTCTCATCAGTGCTAACCACTTGCTTACGTGGCAGGCAGTGTTTCTATAATTTTGCTCCGCCTGGCATATATGTTGTTAGGCACAACAGTAAGAGCCGATGGAAATGTGGAAAAAGCTTTACGCAACTGGTCTCATCGGGAAGGATCTTTGGGAGTCTATGGGGAAGCCGTTCAAAAAGGTGAAAGCTTGCTCAGTAGAATTTCGTTTGGCGATGCAAAACATTCTCGTACGAGATGGACACGAACAGTTGCAGTCGAAAACCTCATCCATAAATGCGGTGGGCATACCGGCGTTCCAACATAGATCTCCCTGCCAAAATGCAATGTTCCTGGAATGATCTCAGTCCTGATATGTTTCGAAGAAAGCATGCGTTTTTTGCTGGTATGTAGCTGTAATATTATCATCAATATAACTTTACATAGTGAATAGTTAATGAACAATGTGAGACTTCGAAAATTTTATTGCAAAAGAATACTGAACTTTTAAAAAAGAATTTGCAAGAACGTGTGATTGCAAAAGTTTCGCAGAAGTTTTTGTCTTTTTGGCGAGCTTTCGGCGCTTAGCGTCTTTCTTAAGCCTGAAATTGAAGGTCGGTCCATAATTTTCGAGACACTTTACATATATTGTTGTGCAAACCTTTTCATAAGGATAGAAGCTTTCCAAAATGCCCTGCAACCCAGTAAACAAGCTCGCCTATCCGACAGGCTTGCCACCTCGTTTGCTTGTCGCTTTCTTTGGCTAGGTTCCAATTTCTTTGAAACCTACTTGTGAGCCCCTTTCTTCACGACTTCAGATTAGAGTCTTCCACTCGCCAAGCCATATGGAGGATTGCCCAGAAGGTAGCTGAGGGACGCTCTCTCATTCCACGCTGCTCCAGTGGTTACCTCTACTCAGGGCTCCCCCTTACCTTGGTTACCTTCTTTAGGTAAGATTCCAATTTCTGTGAAACCTACTTCTGAGTCTCTTTCTTCATGGCTCCCGATTAGGATCCTCTACGGGCCAAACTATATGGAGGATTTATAGTTGAAGACACGCTCTATCAATAAGCAGTGCTCCAGTGGTTACTCAGAGTTCACTCCTTTTATATGAAGATGATCCGCGCTCCGACCACGCTAGACCACGCCATTACTGGCAGTCTCTATGTTTTATCCGGGCCATTGAAGAGGCATATGAACAAAGGCGCTCTCTGTCAGAGGGTATTTGGTGTGACAACGAGAGAGTACTGAGACATCTCGAAGGAGTCGCTAAGATTTGAATATATGGAGTCTGTATCTCACACGCTGTGAGCCCGAATCAGCTCTAAACTCGATATGACATCATCATGTTCCCGATTGTTTTCCATGGTTCCCTCGAATGACCAGCATGCTCACCGGCGATGGGGAGTGTGTGCCAACAAATCCACAAGCCGCTACCTACCCTCGCATCGGCGATATGTTAATAATGGTGCTGTGTACTATGTTGAATAAATACATCAAAGAAATAAAATAATGAATTGAATCGAAAAACATCCAAAGTGTCTCAAAAATTATGAACCGACCTAACACACAAGTAGAAGCTTTTGAAGTATGTTAATATATCAAACTATAACTCTCGACTATATGACTCGCCTGCTGCCCACTCACAAAGTGTAACACTTAAAGCCTTGCTGGTTTGTGAAGCAGAAAATATTCCCTACCCTGGTCTTACCCTTAAGGCAAGATTCAAGCTTAAAGTGATGAGGTAGTTCCACTCAAATGTGATGTAGGGGCGGGAGGGTGACCGCCAAAGGAGAAAAAAATGAAGGAAAATCGTGAAATAAACAGGAAATACGAGTCTCTTGCTCTACGTTGCGGAGTAGCTCGAGGCCGGCAGGGAGATGAGAGATAATGTGAGCGCGGAGAGCGGTAGAAAAATCCGAGAAGAGAGAGCATAACAGATCAGCTTTGCGACGCAGACAAAATATGGTGGGCGGAGCGTGTCGCAAGAGGAGGAGCGTGTCAAAGTCCCGGGCACCTAGCGCCTTAGTGGCGCATTTGGATGCGGGAACTTGGCGAGTTGCCTGCAGCCGCGTCCCATGCACCTCTTGCCACTTTAAGAGCTTATTAGGTGGTTCTGGGCCCGAACTTTGCCTTTAAATAGCGTGGACATGCTACGGCCATTATTTTGCATAATACGCATTCATTCCACAGTGATGGTGTAACTGCAGCCATGCGATGAGTTGAAGAGAGTCACGTACCTCGTCCCTGCTATTCATTTCCGGGGCTAGTCTTTTTTTCCCCATGCCTCTAGTATTTTGCATTCCACTGTGATTTCGACGGAACGGTGTAGAACTTTCACGTTGAGGATGGGTGGATCCCCGTGGGCATGCTGTTAGGTTCAATGTTTTGAGAGGCTGTTACCCTGATATGAGGCCGGATTTTGTAGAGCCCTTCGATGTTCATCAAGTCGTTTGTGGGAAGGTCTTCTTGTTTCTCCGACATACTTGTGCCCAAATACTTGGCATTCTATTGCGAAAATTCAACTTCAGTTGGCATATTTTGTCTTCCTTACAGTGAATGCCGCCACCTCCAACATTTGCCCTCGTAAAGCCTGGAATATGTCAGCAGTCGCTCTAAGTTTGGGAGGGGGAGGAATCCGTAGTGGGAGCAACGAATTCCTCACGACATTGTTGACCTTCCATGCTGTTTTTCGATGACATACAAGTAATAGAGAATAGTAGTTAACCAGGTTGTTATTTAGTGTGATCCCTCAATGCGTAAATCTGTTGCCGAATAGATTGCGCTCAAGATTTCACCGGAAGGGGAGCCGCTTCCGTTCAAAAAGGACGTTCATATACCTGTGTGTTCCCACATTAATCAGGCGGTCCCGTGAAAGTTCTTTTACATCCAGTGCTCTGGCTTAGACAGAACAGATACAACAGCTCATCTGTAGTGAAGGGGCCAGAGCATCTTCGCAATTAAGGACCACCTGGGGTCTCGATGAAACGCTTAAAATAATGAGAATCTTGTGAAGGCTGGCCATCTCTCGTTGCTAAACACTTTCTGTAATAAGATTCTGTTCGTGGTAGCATATAGCATATAGCATATTCGAGTTCACACTAGAAGTTTAGCCTTTTGTTATTTGACTGATTGTTTGATTACCTTGTCCGCTTTTTCTAGTCTCCTTTACGGTGAGTAAGAGAAACTACTCCACTTATTCGTATCCATTTTTCAGGCTGTTGACTGACACTAGCGACTTCCTTCACTAACTACACCAAGGGTAGAGTCATCACGTCGAGACTGTTGGATGGATGCTGTGGAAAACTATCCATAATGCATAAGGAACTACGACCATATCGACTTCGTTAGACTACGCATTGTACCCATCTAAGATGAAAAAAAAACCAGTTTTCATAAAGTTCTTCTCTGTCTAATGTTCGGAAGTAGCGCTTGCTACAATTGTACTGTACAGAATCTTCGCCTGTGCAGATCCAGCCTTCAATGGTTACCCACATATTTCGCAACCCTCATGTGTGCATTATTGTTAATAAGTTTACAAGTATGTCAAATTTGTAGACTTCGGCTTATGGCTTGGATTAATTTTAAAAAACTGTCTACCTTTCTGGCACGGGAGAACCCTAACCCTCACTCGTGCAAATCAAAAAGCGTCTTCAACCTAAATTATTCACAATAGTTTCTGTTTTGTTATAGCAGTGGTGTACGAAGGGCTTAATAAATCGTTTATTTTTATCATCTCGACAAGAAATAAACATATAATGGGAGAGCGCATGAATTGTTATTGTTCTTATATTGTTGATGTCTAAGGATATGCGATCTATTGTAAGTTGTCTCGTCTTCTCGAATAGGTGGCGAGTCCGACCGCCATAGTTTCGTCGTGGCATTGTTGTAGAAGTTGAGTTGCATTGGAATAGTTACTACGCGACCGTAACCGCTTGATGAGAGGGCGGAACCTCAGAGAGAGAGGAGACAAGGGTTGGTTGAAAATAAAGTGAAGGTTAGGTCGGAGCGGAAGATTGCTTCTGTCCGGAGCGCGCTGTTTTTACCCCCAAAAGAAGGCGGTATACAGTAGCGGTCAAAAGTGTTCGCCGAGATGATTTTCGGTGCACTATTTTTTCTCGCTTGGGAAACGTCCTCCAAAAATTGATATCCTAATGTTTTTATTTCATCAATTCCTAAGGGATCCAGATATTCAAAGGAAAATTTTTTCGAGGTGACCATTAATTTTTTCTTGAGAAGAAGATAAGCGCGAAAAACCAAGAAAATATAAACAAAAAATATACAATTCTTAAGGGAAAGTGAACTATACAGTTATAGTGACTGAGCTCACAAAATGTGGACTTCATCGGGGGCTGGAAGGTGATGGTTGACGATGAGGGCGTAGAAATTGCGCGTAGATGCCCCTTGAAGTAGTAACGGGAGTGGTTGGTTTTTGACGTGGTCGACTGCTGACGATGGAGTCCTTGGTGTTTGATGAGTCGTAAGAAGCCAGGACTAGTAGATTAAAACGGAGGGAAAATTGTGAGAGAGAGAGAAGTGAGAGTGTTTCATGAAAATGTGTCGGAAGATCAAATCCTGGGTCGTGCGCCGTTCAGGCCATTCAAGCCTTCACTTCTTTTGAGGCCATCAAATGGTATCGGAACAATGGAAGCTTGGTTGGCCTGGGAAGGCGAAGAAGAACCTTGTGCAATCGCTACGATGGGATGATCGAAACAAACAAACCATAACAACACTGAAACACAAATAAATACACATCGCAGGCTTGTACAGCGAGCAATGTCCAAGTCATGTTTAAGGAACGACGTCTGATTCAACGGTAGTCGCGGCGCAGTTGATCTCTGAGTCAGATTTGCTGAAACTCTGCTGTAAACCATCGATATCTACACCCTCGTTGAAAAGGTATCATTCCTCTATTTCATTTTTCATTTTGAACTGTATGTCATAGGGTTACATAGGACTAGGTTTCTCGTCCCCAACCACTGTTGCTTAGCCTTCCACTCGGTAACAATATTTCTCCAATTTCGTAACAGCTTGAAACATGGACTGTGTAGCTTCCTTCCAAACTACTTGGTTGAAGAGATTCCTGCGTCAAGTATCTATTGAGGACAATTTTTGACGACTCAAAAAGTCGCTTAATTCTTCACCATCCATTGCAAGCTAATTCGTTGGCAACTCTCGAAAATTCATCTAATTCCAACGTAAGCGATAAGAAAAGGACAATCGTCATCGTCTGATTCGGCCTCAGTATAGGCCATGCATCCGACTTCCACTCAAAGTTGCAGAATTGAAGTGTTGTATGATGATGACCTTTTGAAAGGACCTGCATTGTGATAAAGAAATTTCGTAACTTTTATAACAGAAGGGACAGCTTCTTCCGCCCGGGCCTTTCCTTCGCTATTGTCGTTTTTGTGACAGCATCTTTAAGCAGTGTCGTTCTCGACGAGGGATCAAGAGCGAGGGAGCGAGCGACAGATAGAGGTGCCTTTACGGGGCGTGTGCACCTGTGGCCCCTTCCTTTACGGAGAAGCAATTACATTATTTGTACTGCTGAAATACATTCTTGCCATAAAGGTAGAGAAATGGAGAGACCAACCCCATACATCCTCCTTTTCTGCTGCGCTACGCCCTCTCACCCCTAACTGCACTATGACGCCAGCGATATATGGTTGTGAAAAAATGGAAGCACACTAAGAACGACGAAGAGGATGGAAAAGAAGGGGGAACACGGTGTGGTCAGTGGGAGGAGCACGGGTATAGATGAAAAGGGGGAGCACAACAGCGGCGTCAGTGGAGCTATCGGTAGCACGGGAACCGCCTGCCAAAAAGGCGACCAGCTGCTTCTGTGCACCTGTGATCCTGTCACAGTTCATTTAGGGCATGGCATAGGCATTCAGGCTCTGGTCCCAAGGGATGGCTCACGGCTCAATACCACAGAATGTCCAATGCACTCAGCATATTCCCGTTCGTTTTTCTCTCCAACTTTTTCATCAGCGACCATTAGCGCTTTGTAGTGCAGTCTCAAAAGTTTCGCTTATGAGACATTGCAATACAAGGTTCTCGTTCATGAGCAGTGGCACCGCAAGTTGCGCTGAGAACGCGGGATGTTTGCTGTTTCACCTCGAGATCTCCCAGTTCCTTATTCGTCGTTTATGGCCTCCGATCACTGCCTTTGACTGTGACACTTTACTACCGTCCCAGGAATTCTCTCTCGCATAGCATAAAATCAAGGCGTCAAGGGCGTTGCGAGTGTTCTGAGCGAACAAGGTGGGTCAGACCGTAAACTAATGAACACATATATTTATTTATTTAGTGCCAATCGCGCTAAATGTCAAAATCAGGAGTTATTTTAATCGTCAGGACCACTCTGAAGCCAACAATAGGCCGCCAACCTTGACTGCAAAATTTACTCGCCGCGGGGGATCGAACCATCAAGGGCAAAATTCACAACTTTTCGATACTACTAAAACAGATCAGCAAAAACAAAAAATGGTACTGTGGTGCATACTACGTCCCTACAATATATTTCCAAAAAGCGCGGCTCGTCCTGAAGAGCTCCCTTTTCCAGCTTGCTCGTCACCTGAAATCAACAATCCATTTCAGAAATGAAATAGAGGCTCCGATGTGCTTCCTCGCAAGCAGTACTAGATCGCCTTGCCAGTTTCCCGGCAAGAAAGCTCGTAGGTTTGGTAGATAGCAATTTTCGGATTTTTAGACTCACCAGGATTCCAGAATAATCGCCGTTTATTCATGTTCTACCACTTCTCACTACATTTTTTACCGCATATCCTTCCTTTTCGACCACCTCTATGCCTCTATTTTTCTGAAATTTTTTCTTTATCCCCTCACACATAGTCGAGCTTCAATGAACCCACTCAGCATATGGGGTTCTCGGTTGAAGCTGGTTAACCCACTTACCAGAGAAAGATGATGGGCTGAACTTGCTACATGCAATGAGACATGCTAATGGATGTTTTTTTTTTCGAACGCTGATCTCGAATCTGCTACCTACCATTCACTTTACTAGATCAACGCTTGCCTATAGTTACCCATGCAAGAGTTTGCGAGGTGTTCGCGACAAGTGTGGGCGCTATTTGCTAACGACTGCGCACGGAGCACGCAGAACTCTTGACAGGCGTTTCCGCAGTAGACAGGAGTAATATTCGTGTTCCGGAGATAAAATATCCCCAGGGGCAAATTGAATCCAAACAACTTGTCAACGAATCGATCCCACGATCTCACGCCCGTGAACTCGCACCACTACCGCTGCTCTATTCTGCTTTATGACTACGTTCCCAAAATCGATTGGGAGATTTGGAAGCAGGGTCAACCCTGCGTTGCGCAAAGAACAACGAGGGGGTCGTATTCAGCCGACCGAAAAGGGAGGGGGTCGTATCCACAAACGGGCTGTAAGACGGCTTGAAAAGTGCAGTGCCCAAGAGTGCACTTTCACCTCTAATGTTCTCCAGGAGCTCTGCACGCTGTCGGAGAGTCATACAGACATGAGCTCCATGGGAGCATTAAAGCATGCAGAGCACTATAAATCTCACCATCAGCTTATTATCCTTAAGTGACGCTATCCGGACTGCGCTTTTGCTCCGCGGCATAGATCAAGAGTGCAATAGACAATAGCCAAAAACTTTGTTACAGTGTAGTGCAAAAACATGGTCTGTCTTCGATGATGAAACATTCCTGAAATCCCGAGGAGAAGAAAGTGTGGAGCAGTTCATGGGAAAGTGAAACAAGAGTGCCATATAACAGCACAATACAACGCAATCAGGATACTAACACCTTCTTCAGGAGAACAGAAGACTTTCAAATGCGAGTGCGAATTCTGCCCACAGATAGGTGCACGGCGTATACACGAGCACGCGTTTTCCATAAAAACGCCTCCTCTGTCAGCGGCCGTAAGCAGACAAACTTTCTGAAGAGAGTTTCGATGCTTTCAAATAAAATCTAAGCGAAACAAAGTGTAGCGAATTTGCCGAATTGAGTTCTAGAGACGCCGTAGGAAAATTGAGGCAGAAGAAGGAATTTCAGGGAATTTTCACAGCTGTTATGAAGTACTCTTCGAGTGGATTCCAACAATCTTTACCGCCTCTCATCACATTAATTACAAAGGAAGTTAGGGGCCTTTAAAGACTGCATAGTCGCGGTCCAGGAAAAAGGCTTGAAAAAAATAAAGGTGGAATTGACGGAACAACGGGAGTATTTTTCGAGCGAGTGATTATTTCAAGAAGTTTTAGCACTTATTCGAAAGCTCTAATCCTCTAGTTTCTAATTAGCCTTAGACATCTGCAAAATGTTGAGTATGAAGAAAGTTACTAACGTTTGAATGTCGAAAACTCGCGCCTTCTCAAACATGAGACCCCAAACCACCCAAGAACGGAACAACGGAAGTATTTTTTGAAAAAATGATCGCTGGAAGACTTTCAGGTGCTTGTTCGAAAGCTCTAATCTTCTAGTTTCTAATTAGCCTTAGACATTTGCAAAAAAGTTGATTATGAAGAAAGTTATGAAATGTTTTGAATTTCAAAACTCCGCGTCTGCACAGAAAACGAAACAACGGCACGATTTTTTGAAATACTGAACATCCACAACATTTCAAATACTCCTCAGGAGAAAACTATTTATATTTTCAAAATTTTGTGTCCGATTTCATGAAACAGCTTCTGAAAGAAAATATAACCTTCTAAATGGAGGGGTTTGGATTGCAATGTAATTGCCTACAAGGTTTAGTTTTTCAGATTATAAGGTAAGGAAAGTTGATAGATCGAAAAAATCCGGTGGTTTCTGAAAGTAGAAATCTTTACGAATAAAATGATGTATTGGTTTACGCAAAAATTTGAAAATTCCTTCTAATTATGAATAAAACTTCAGTTGTCTCGATTTCCTCCTCTGAGCGAGACAGAGCGCGCGATTGACCACGGTCCACCACTTCTCCATGTTGGTGACTGCCATCATTGATGAGCATTGATGAGCATTAAATTATGTGAAAGACATGATAGTTAATAGGGGGTCGTACCGATACCCCTCGAAAGAGGAAGGGGGTAGTAAAAATTTGGGAATTTGCGCAACGCAGGGTTGACCCTGTTTGGAAGGCAGATTCGCGTCCAAAAACGCATTCAACAGTGGAGGTTTCATCACATATAGCATTCGAGATATGGCCTCATACCTCCCCCCGCAATTATTCTTTTCGTGTCATGTTAAATCATGACTATTCTCTTGTAGACGCGCTACCTTTATAGACTCAGGGTGAGAATTATGGCAACAGTAGTAAAATAAACAAATAAAGGCTTACAGCGAATGGTAGTCCACCGTACTTTTATTTCCGTGTGACATATGCTGAACATTTGAGCAGCAACGGTCAGACTGCCAATAATCTGTTGAAATTAGATATTAGTAGTACTTCTAGTTCTGCTCATCAGAGCTTTTGAAAAACCGAAAAGTAGAAAGTGAAAGCTCCACGTGAACCTTGAAGGAGGAGGTGAGCCTTAGTGCCTTCGTAAAAACAGCTGAATTTACAGCATTGGGTTACTCGATGAGTCATGCATGACATGCTTTTCGGCTTTTCGTTTCCTTCCAAATTTTCAGAGCAATACTTGAGGTCCCATCCAGTGAGGGTGCGACAGGTCATACTGCATGAAGAAAGTCAATTTTTCAAGGGAGGGAAGCTCCAGGTTGGGTGTAAAAGTTTAGGCTGGTGGCAGAGTACGCGATCCGTCGCAGGTTTTGCTGATTTTCGCGACTTGCGCGATTTGCGCGATTCACGCGACGGGTCACGGAAATCACAAGTGCCCGATCAATACTGCAAGGTGTTCTCCAATCCTGCCGCCGCTTCTGCTTGATAGTGATGGCTGAATGACGACTGCGCATGATTCCACTTGTTTCATATTCAGTGTTTCAAATGTTCACACACTTGCAATTCTTGCGATCCGTCGCGTGAATCGCGCCAATCGCGAAAATCAGCGAAACCTGCGACGCATCGAGGACTCTGGCACCAGCCTTAAAGGACGAATTTACGATGGCAAAGCAACCCATTCCAAACTAACCCAGGGATGGTGATTGGTACACGAAAGAAGGAAGAACCGTGAGAAACGGCCCAGAACCCGAGAAATGGTACCCCTACCTTGCCCGTTGATTCGAGCATTGATGTGACTCTCATCGCTGTGCCCTCTTCAACACTACGATCTCTAGGCTATCTAATCACTCGCCACGTATTTAACCAAGGCGAGTGATTGGTGGGCGGAGATCGCCGAACCCGCCAGCTTTGAGGCATGATAGGTCGCCGAGGTCAAATTTTTCCATGCGAATTGCGTGTCATTTCGCACCCTCAGGAGGTCCGTGGGTCCCTCAACTAGGTCAGTTTCACTTCCTTCGACCTTCATTTTAATCGTGGATTCCTCCGTTAAGCGGAATGGTTCACGCGCCCCGGGGATTCCCTCCCCTTGCAAAAATTGGAATTTCTATAGCTGACAAGGACTGTCAGACCACGTGCTCCCCTTACTGGATGAGACCCGACTGTTGTTTCCACAACATGATGGATTCAATTCAGAATGCATCTGTTGCGGTAACTTTATATTCACATTTTGCGCATTCCCAAACACTGAGCGACGACTTGGCATGATGCCAAGTGGGGCGTGGGTCCCACCACGAACATACGTGATGTTTTTGAGGAATTCCATTTCGCCGATAGTGCTTTACACCGACAACGTACGGGATAGATGTATACGTGACATTTAAATTAGGCGTGGATCAGGAATGATCGCTTACGGTACGCAATTGCACAGATCCTGTAGCGTGCATCTGTCCCTGGCCGCTGACAGATTGCTGCGTTCCAAACACAACTCAGGTTATATTGCATTCTTTTTCGAGCTTTTTCGAGCTTTGTGCTCAATAATTAATTCATAATATTGGTTCCAGAGCAAACCTTGTGCGTGGTATCCCGCGCATACGAATTTAAATGGCCCAATGGACAACGTGAATAGGCGTGCAGCTGTAGCTTTGGCCAATCATGTGTACGTCAATAATGTCAGAGAAACGAGAGTACGGACAGTGATGCAGACACGCATTCGAGCAGGACACACGCCTTCGTTACTCGCGAGCATTGTAGAGCGCTGGACTTCCGAATTTGAACCATGGTAGGTTCCGTTGTGTTCGCCAAAATTGTGTATTAGAAGGTTCAATTGTCTTGCGTAGAATCCTTAAAAATACTGTCAGTTTTTTTAAGCTGAAGCGATTCAAATTCAGTGTTGAAAAATCAACTCCTCGCTTGACTCACTCCTTTTGCGTTGAGTAGTAAAGGGGGAGGGGGGTGGGGGAAGTTACAAGCTTTCTGATTCTGTATTAGTAAAATGTATGTCTCCCCATTGTTGCAGTAGTACCATTTGGGCTTGCAGCATCTAAATATTCCAGAGAATTTTGTTAGCCTCGATCCGTAGCATAGCTTTCTGTGGTTTTTTGAAGGGTGAAGTCCGCTCAACCCGGCTGCCTTTCGTCGGTGTTGTTTCAATTAGGAGGGTTCAGCTGTGTTGCTTGGGTTCTTTAGTGAGGGAAACAAGTGCGGCTGTATTACACTGAAAAGCAACCGCAGCAGTTTGCTATGCATAGGTGCATTACTGGCTGAACAAAACCCACTTAAATCCGCTCAGAACCGAAAGCAAGACAAGCTTTGGCCTTTAGTCTCCTTATTCAATTAATGTTTACGTGCATGCTTTGTGCCAGAGTTTATTGTCTATTCGCCTTCTTACGAGCATCACATCGCCGAGTTATTATTTTCTGTCGAACTTTTACGATTTCTCTGGAACATAGGCATTCGTGCTGTGCTTATATGGGCTATGCGGGTGTGGGCCACTATGTCAAAATACGGCGCTCAGATCGTTTGAAGTGTCACGCTACATGACCCACCGCTCTGCGCATGCTGTCGCACTCCTCTGCTATAGAAGCAATCTATTCACCGAGAATTCGCGCTGCTCTGGCGTCGGAAGGATGGAGAGGCATGGGATAATTGAACCAATGCACCAGTCTGAAAGGATGCGTCATTGGATCCCTCCCTGGTGGTTCCTGTGATGTGAATCTTCAAACGATCTCTTTGCTTAGCGACGTCGCTTTTGGTCATATGGGCCCACTGCCAGGCTATGCTATATTTATGAAGTGTGGAGACTCAGCACAAAGCTAAAATTTCACGTTGAAAAATTCCCAATAAAGTTCATTTTGCAAGAATTATTTACCTCTAAGAATTTGTTAGGAGAATGTCAGAATTCTTAGAAGAAGTTTTTAGCGCACCGGCCGAAAAGGAATCATGTAGCAATATTTTTTGGTTAAGCTGGAATCGGGGCGGGGCGCTCCACTGCGCACTCCAACGCTATAGAGAAGATCAAAATCCTTCAGTACTTAATCGGTCGTGAATCAAGGGAGTCATATTTTGGTTGGGTCTAACCAGGAGAGCTTCCAACTTCCCGTGAAACTTCGAATGAGACCCAGATAAATCGATGGAGTCTGGAGGCAAAGTCGGTCCAATCGTTCGTACTTTTTACGCCCCCCCCCCTCCTTCAGTAGGGGTTTCATACGACCCCCTCTTCACAGCCACTTTTCCCTCAAAAAAGCACCGTCGAGGGGTATATACGCACGCTGAAACCGCAAATTTTCTCCCGCGCGCTCTCGCCTCGCCCCATGTACTTTAGCTACCGAAACAAGTACGACCCCCAACACAAACTTCAACTATGACCGCTCCCCCCGTTGGTACGTGTAGCAACGTAAGGTTGACCCTGTCTGGAAGGCTGGTTACAAATGTGAAAATCAAACTACTTGAACCTGTCAAGGAAGAGGTGGATGGTCGAAAGGTTGTGAATCCTACCTAGTGTAGTGGTTTCTGATAAAAGCCTTCTGCAAGGGAAACCGATTTTCGCGATTGATAATATGAAATCTATCCTTGGCAGTGAAGCCATCTGGCACCAATTTGGAAGGCTCATTAGAATGTCATCGCGAGGAATCGAACCTTGGACCAATTTGTTCCTTTTCTGGTATTAGCGGGGGAGTTGCAGTGAGATGACGTGGCACTGGCTAGGATGTGGGCGCTATTATAGGGCGTATAACACTCACCGGTCTTTATCAAGAGTCCACTTCCAATGGGGGTGCTAACTCAGTTGGAGGGGGGAGGGGCAGTCGCCACCGCAGCGCGCCGGTTTTAGTCGCTTTCATTTTGCACATGAGCTGTGGAGGATGAGTCAGGCTGGTGTTCTCGCAGGAAAAATATTTATGGTGTGGCCGTAAACAAAAACGTGCAACTGGAACAGCTTCGCCCGCTAGGGTGAATTTGGGGTTTTGTTAGTAACGCCCGATGTTTCGGGACATTCAGTGAATCGCCGGATCTCTGAATTATCGGATCATTCAAGACCCATCTTAGAAAAGAGGGATTAGGAAGCGAGGATGTAGGACAGGAAGCGAATTTGCCGCTTCTCGCAGCGCTAGCTTTTCGACGCGAGATCCAGTGTCCACTCCGCATCAGTGGTGGACCTGGGGTTCCCCCAACGATAAAAGTTTCGCGGTGCCAAAGGCGGGGAAATCTCTTTCTGTCCTAGCGAACCACACACAGGAAACGGACGCAGGCATGTCCAATCATTGCTGCCCCTTTGAAGAATTGTTCCATGACAAGGAAGAAGGTCGAACATAGGCGAAACTTATCTAGTGGAGAGACAGATGGACCGACACGACTCGTACCAAATGATATGCTCCGCCACTCTCGCCGTTTCAGCCTCTTGCCGTTTGGCAGAGGGAGCGTTAGCATCGAAGAGGGCAGCAAATATGAGAGTAGCATCAATGCGGAAATCAACGGGCAAAGAAGGGTCATTCGCCGGGTTGTATGACGTTTTTCTTGTTTTTTTTTCTTCTGTCGTGCATCACTGACCACCTGTGAAATAATTTCCACAAGGCTGCCTTTTGATCGTGGAATCCCCTTCAAAGTTGGGCGACCGTGTGTAAACTTCGAGCGCGGCCCCTGCGTTTACGACCCCTTCCGCCACCCCCAACTGGGCAAATATTACCCAAGACGTCTGTAACGGCTAAGTGAACGGTTGACCCTGGTTCATTAGAGGGACTTCAGTTACCGCGTAAGTTGCCTGCCACACATGCCCTCTATTTTGGAAAACGAGAAGCGCGTCGAGTGCGGATCGCACACCACAATTGACGACGGCCAAGAAAAAGTGGCTTTTTTGTTTGACCATAATCACTTCTTTGTTTGGTCTGCAGTCGATACTCTTCTCGTTTCCGATAACGAAGGTAACGTTGTTTTAGTTTTCCTCGCAGTTTGTCCAGGGCTTCCGTCGATGTGCCTGACGAGCTAGTGAAGAAACTCATGGCCTAGTTTTCCGATGTTGGCAGTTCGGAAATTTTCTAACACTTCTACTGTAAGAATGTTCTAATGCCCCAATTACCAATATTTCATTTATTTTTTAGTCTGATGTCAACTCGCCTTAGCGTCACAACTTCTTTGCACACGTTTTCGGTTAAGCCTTCTTACCGTGTAGAACAAATTCCTGAAGCAGGCAATGAATACCAATGCTTTGTTATGCGGGAAAAGTCATGCTTCACACCACCCTTAAACTTCGATTCAATGAAAAGCACCAATGAATTAGGTCATTCCGAGTACCGTGACTCTTCCACTTTCATTTACCAAGAAAAAATTTAGCGTGAAGTGATCTCTATCCATGTGGGACAAGCAGGTGTACAGATTGGTAATGCTTGTTGGGAACTGTACTGCCTCGAACATGGAATACAGCCAGATGGTCGCATGCCTTCAGACAAACAAACACAGGTACGTTGTCGATTGTGAAAAGCAATCTGTCGTTCTTACAACGATACGCGTTTCAGGATGACACGTCCTTCTCCACGTTCTTTTCTGAAACCGGAGCTGGTCGTCACGTACCTCGCGCCGTGATGGTTGACTTGGAGCCGACCGTGATCGGTAAGTTAAGGCGTAATTCATGTCTCGGTTTGGTAGCTGCGGTTTTCGGTCACTGTTTTTGTCTTCGATGGATGGTGATAAATACAGTTGGGACATAATCTCCAAGTCTTCTCATATTGCTGTGTTGCTGTGGAAATCTTTTGAAGGGCACTGAAGTTTTCCAACGACAGCATCTCACGAAAGAGCTAGCAAGCTCGTTTTTTATTGCTCTTTGTGGAAAAATCCCAGTTTTTCTGAGTCTTTCTCTTCGTGGCTATCGATAGGGTCTTCCTAATATCAAACGTCAAGTAGCTAACAGAAGATAGGCGAGTACGACCCGTCAATCTTTAGTGCACCAATGATTCACTCTACTCAGATTAGCTTTTTTTTATTTGAAGACGATTCACGCTTCAACCACCCCGTGATTGTCAATCGGTTCGGTAGCTGCAGTTTTCGGTTACTGTTTTTGTTTTAAATGAATGGTGGTAAATATTAGGTTGGAACATAATTTAATTCTTCGTCTTTACCTGAACTGCTGAAAGGGGGTTTTGACGGGCTAGCCATCAATTGCCCTAGCGCTTCTGATGCTGCAATAGCAGAGCAGATACATTTCTAAAGATAAAAGATTTGGAATCATGCAATTCAAATCGCACAGCCCCGAGCCCGAATTAGCTCCAAGACGATCTGGCATCGTCACGTTCCTGTAAGTTCCCTATGGTTCCTTCGATTGAGCATCCAGCATGCTCGTCGATGATGTGTGCAGTGCATTGAACAAAAAAAAAGTTGAACCAACGGGAATTCCTACTCGCACATGCTGCCGTTTATGTGAAAGTCAAGCGTCCACAGCTCGATCACAACGCTCAAAATGAGAGAGAAACAAACAAAATCCACTCCTTCGTGCTATTCAACTATTCATTGCGAAGAAAGCTCAGGAAAACTTGGAGACCCGTGCAGAGAAATCTTACTCATGGGCTGTCTCACAGCCTTCACCTCCTGCCAACGGAAGCCTACCAGTTCATCTCCCTAGTCTACTTAGAGTAGTGCTTTTAATCTAACCTCCATGATGTCAAAATCAACTTTCAATCTAACTTATCTCTACCAGAACTCATGCGATTATATGAAAGACACTGAACACCTAGCAACACGTTAAAATATTGCTGCCAATAATTGGGTGTGCCCATTGCCTTGATATACTATACAAGAGGATAGCAAATAAAGTCGACAAACAGCCAAGTGGCTCAGAAATTATGTGCCAGACTAATGCTGAATCTGTAACATTCGCTCACTGAGTACTGATCGTTTTCTAAGTTCAAGTTTACATTTTTTTCAAGAGGTAACAGCGTCGAAACGTTAGGCCACATCTGGTTGATGGCCTATTGCAGCGCCGTCGACATGATTCACACCAACTAACGTTCTAGAAAATGCAGTGGTCGGAAGCGTTCTGCAAAATGCTTTTTTTCAACTGCCTCTGTTGGTCAGGATACTTCCTTCATGTTGATGGTTTATTTTGCTAGTATTATTGTGCCTTCGAGACTTTCAAGTACTTAATCGAATAAAGTCGACACTGAGGAGCTATTCTGACCGATTGAGGCAGTTGAAGAAAGTAGCGTTCTGCAGAACGTTTGGATACGCTACGTTTTCTGAAACGATAGTTGGTGTGAATCATGTCGTCGGCGCTGCACCACAGTAGACCATGTTGTTGGAGGATTCCGTGCAAGAAGTGGGAACTGTTTAGGAAATCGTATTTTATTAGTTTTTTTGATACACTACCTAGGTTGTTAACAGAGAAACATTTGATTACAGATGAAATTCGCACTGGAACGTACAAGCAGCTATTTCATCCTGAGCAGTTGATAACAGGGAAAGAAGACGCCGCTAACAACTATGCAAGGGGTCACTACACGATTGGAAAAGAAATCATCGACTTAGTTCTCGACAGAGTTCGGCGTTTGTCTGACAATTGCTCTGGGCTGCAAGGCTTTCTCATTTTCCACTCATTCGGTGGCGGAACTGGATCTGGTTTCACATCTCTTTTAATGGAACGACTGTCGGTTGATTACGGAAAGAAGAGCAAACTGGAGTTCTCCATTTACCCTGCTCCACAGGTACACACGAGTTGTTAACAAATAGCTTTAGCATCTTATTCAGTGAATTACAGGTCTCAACAGCCGTAGTGGAGCCCTATAACTCTATACTTACAACACATACCACATTGGAGCACTCCGACTGTGCTTTCATGGTTGATAACGAAGCAATTTATGACATTTGTCGCCGTAATTTGGACGTTGAGCGCCCAAGCTACACGAATCTCAATCGTCTTATCTCGCAGGTCGGTTCGTGGAATTAAAAAATGGGTTTTTGGTTATCATAATGTGTTTCAGGTGGTATCATCTATAACAGCTTCGCTGAGGTTCGATGGAGCCTTGAATGTAGACCTAACAGAGTTTCAAACGAATCTCGTCCCTTACCCGCGTATTCATTTTCCTTTGGCTACATATTCGCCCGTCATATCTGCTGAAAAGGTGATTAGAGTTCCTCTTCCTAGTTAGTTTTTTTTCTGTACCTTAGGGAGACATTTTAGGCTTACCACGAAGCTTTGTCTGTGAGTGACATAACAAACATGTGTTTCGAACCAGCAAACCAAATGGTCAAATGTGATCCTCGCCACGGGAAGTACATGGCTGTTTGCTTATTATATAGGTTTGTACAACCCCTTTTTGACAGTTGTACGTTTCCCTTGAGATTGAATGATACGGCGAGCCACCGTGTTGTATTGGCAAGCTTTAACACTTGTACGGCGTAGGCAATAACAACATTTGTGGGAGTTCTGACACACTACAATTTCCTTCCCTTCGGCACTATGACGCAACGATCGTGATCGCGTCGTGATGCTGCTTACCAGAAGGAAATCTGACACTTTGATTGTTCTAATTTTGGTAGAGGGCCTTACGTGGAAAAGTCTATACGCCATGACCTTACCATGGTTCACCCGTGGTCACAAAATCTTGGGAGAAGCGATCGACAGAAACGTTACGGTTAGCTCGCGAAAAGTTGACCGATTTCATGTAAAAGATGGCTGAAAAGTACAGGCGCGTACAAAATCGGCTGTTTCACAAGTACGCATTTTCATCCATTTGTTGAAGTTCTAAAAAATCATCAAATAGCATCTTCTCAGGAATGGTCAAAGAGTCGCCTTTGGTTCAGACAAATCCTTTTAAAAGCGTTAAAAGCCTAGTATCGAACATAAAGAGAAACAACTTTATTTAAAGTTAACACAGCGACACAAACACAATTATTCAATCGCGGAAATTTTTTCTTTGAACATAACTTGTCCTGCACATAGCGCACATCTGGATTTCGAAGCATTTCTTCAGACGTGTCAGACTTTTCTTCACGTAGTCTTTGTTAATGGTGTGATGTACATGCTACATTTCCATTGTTTTAAGGTGTCTGGATGTGTTGGACACTTCCGTGAGCATTGCCTAGACTTTATAGGTCGAATTCTAGCTGGGGCTACTATTTCTAAAGGTTCTGCTAGGTGCTAGATCGAGTCCCCTGATAGTTGCCTGATAGTGAGCATCCAATGACTTCTATGTTTACGAAGCAACTATAAACTCCCACAAATTAGCCTAAGTAACGCAATTGCTCAACGGATAGACACATAGGAGTTCCAAAAAACGTCCCCGTACTTTTCAGTCAGCCTTGATAAGTTTTATGTTTATTTTCAGAGTGGTACTTTATTCATTTGTTTTTCAGAGGAGACGTTGTTCCAAAAGATGTGAACGCATCGATCGCCGCAATCAAAACCAAACGCTCCATCCAGTTTGTTGACTGGTGCCCCACTGGTTTTAAAGTCAGCAACTAGACGAAAGTGCAGTGTAAGATATCGTCGTGTTAGCTATATCTTTTTGCATTTTTAGGTGGGAATTAATTATCAACCACCTACTGTCGTTCCTGGTGGAGATCTTGCTAAAGTTCCACGTGCAGTATGCATGCTCTCTAACACGACAGCTATAGCAGAAGCTTGGGCACGTTTGGATCGAAAGTTTGACCTTATGTATGCTAAGCGAGCTTTTGTGCATTGGTATGTTGGAGAGGGTAGGTCATGTCTTGAAATTATTAGTATTGATAGTTGCTGTACCAGCCAATTTCAGGTATGGAGGAGGGTGAGTTCAGTGAAGCTCGTGAAGATCTGGCAGCGCTCGAGAAGGACTATGAGGAAGTTGGTATCGATTCCATTGAGGGAGATGGCGGAGAAGATGGGGAGGAATACTAATAAATGAGCAACGGAACCGACCTGTCTCGTAGCAGACATAATCTCGAGGGCCTTACCCTTCGTGATCGTTACACTTATTTTAATATTTGTTCTTTTCGAAACTTTAAAAGTGCTACTTTTTTCCTGATAAATAAACGGTACCCACTGCTGTTTCTTGTACAGCGCCCATTTTTTCCACAAGTCATTTTGTTTTTTCATCCAGTGCAGGATGCATGCTTCCATTATAGGCGAGTCAATAAATTGGTAACCGGGAGGTGAAAGTTGCCGGTTGGTTTCAGCGCTGGAAGATATTCTATGATCGGCGTGACACCATTTGAATGCCTTGTCTGCGTTTACTCCTTCTTAGCCAGTAGCTCCTCACGTTCTTTAGTGGCCGAGTTCCGCATTGTCACAGGCAGCATCTGCCACGTAGATGATCGTCAGTGGAGGAAACTTTCAGCTTGCCGTGGACGCGTTCTTCTCCATTCTTCTCCAGGGAACATCTCGTTATCCGAAATTTGATGAATTGGCATACGGGTCGTTTCGCTAAAATTTTCCCAGAATGACACACATGGTCCGAGCAAATTTCAAATTATTCTGAAAACTTTCAGGAATTCCGGCGATCTCTCTTGCTAAGAGCCTCCACAGCTTTTTCTGTTGTGTTCGGCAATGCTCGGGTTAGGGCACTGCCCAGGCGAGCCCATTCAGGGTACGCGATGCTATTGACACAACTGGTGCATAGCAGTAGCGCGATGCTTTGGGTCGCTGGAAGGCAAACTCAGTCGAGGCTAGTCTTATGCTTACTTGTGCAAGCGGAATCCATTGTTCTGCTCTGATCACCCCCTGAATCCTGAGAAGCGGTCCCACTTCTTTTTTAAGCAGCCACTGCCAGGTCTACGCTGTATTTTGCAAATCGTAGTGGATACTTTGCATCGGACCGCCGAATTATATGCCTAGCGCTGTTGCTGTCGAACATTATAGATTAGCTCTCGCCGCTCCAGAAAGTAAGAACGCTGCGACGATGTCCAGAATTCAGACGGTTCAAGATGTGAGGAATGCGGATTTCTGCGGGGATTCGAAAAATGAAATGCCGTTCGCACAGCATTCTCACACTGTTCTGTTTGCCTTCCAGTGGGTGAACGAACGAAATATCGCGCTTCCGCCGTGTATGAGCGATTTCGACGGCATGAGGTGCCTTAAAAGCAGAGCATATAATGAAAAGGCCCATTAGAGGTTATGGTAGAGGTCGGCAGTGGCCAAGCATGAAAAAGAACCCTGAGAAACGGCCCGGAACCAGGGTCAACCGTTACATTGGACCGATATTGGAGCATCGTTGGACCGATATTGGAGCGACGTTGGACCGATGTTGGCTCGCTCTCCGCGCCGGCATTCACTCTCGCCACCCGCGAGCCGTCTGTGTCTCCGTGCGTACGTTCACTCTCGGCATTACTCTCGTCGTCGCGTTGGACTTTGTCCAACGGACGGTTGACCCTGCCCGGAACCCAACTGAGTCCCCTTCCCCCGCTGATTCTCGCATGATGCGACTCTCATCCTGCCCTCATCAATCCTATGCTAGATGGCCAGAGTCAAATGACGAGAGGAAGAGGGGAGGGGATAGGGCTGGATCGAGCGGCGCGGGCATGCTCCCAGGGCGCTGAGAACATTCTCTTCGCTCTATGCGATTCTCACCCGGTGCTGCCCTCTTCAACGATAACGCTCTCTCTGATAGGTTTGACGAAAGTCGTGACTGCTGAACGTTTTGTTGAATGCAGCCTGCAGTGTGCACCGCGCGAACCTGACTTGCTCGGCCTAGTGAACCTGGTGGCATCTCGCGTTATTGTGCGAGGTACTCATTACTAGTTATTGGCTTCTTGAAAAGACAACTCCTCTATGTGTAGCCTCCTATTTCAACCAAATTTGGGTGCGTTAATGCTTTTGATACGCGCAAAATATTGTCCAATGTGAAAAGCCATTCTTCTTAGTCCGCACGAAAACTTCTTAGTCCGCACGAAAACTGCTGAAACTAGGTTTTCTGGTATGGTGACTCACATGGCCGTAGGCGTATTCGTCGAGAACTCTGCAAAGTGCAGCTATGGTAGTTATAGAAGTGCGTTCAGGCTTATTGTACGCAATTAGTGATTCTTGGGCATGACACTCGATTGATAACTGGAACTGAAAACCAAGCTTTAAGCCCTGATTCAATATCAACGTAGAGGCGAGGCTATAAAGTACAGTAAGCGAAAAGTGCCATGAGATACACAGCCGGACGCGGAAGCCGTTCTCATAGTACTGGGCTAAAACTTAAATGAATCGCTCATTTCGCGCTAAGATACGGTTGTGAAGGAATTTTAATTATTTTTTCATTGTTTTCACCTTGGAATCAGCAACCAAGATGGTGAGAAGCATCAATGCGTTGATTAAGAGCGCATTAATTCAAAAATGGCGAAACGTTTGTTGCTATTCTTCCAGTAATTCCACTAGTTCGAAGGTCAATTCGCATAAATTTCGTCAATGGCGGGCACACTGCTGCTATTAGCGGACCCAAAGCGAGACCAATTATTCCCTCATGTGATGGCGCAGAGTATTTGAATTGGCTTCTGCTTTAGTTTCTTCCGTCGTCGGTAGAAAAAAGCATGATAGTCTTCAGAGCGTGCTCCATTATTTAGACACTTGTACATGAATACGAACCGTGTGCACAGTGCTGCTTATGATGGTTGTTCATTTTAAGTCTGCGCAGGTACATATTTCGCTACCCTTTTGGGCCCAAGTGTTAAAGGACGAATTCACGATCAGAGGGAAAATCGAATTAGGAAGAATTCACCTGGTTGAGGGACCCGCGGAGCTCCTAAGTGTGCGAACTGAAGCACAATTTGCACAGGAGGAGTTGACCTCGTTGACCTATTAAGGTTTAATCCCGCCGCGGCTGGTCAGTGCACGCCCACCGATCATCTGATCACTCGCCGCAGGTCTATACGTGGTGAGTGATTAGATAGGTGAGAGAGCGTAGCGTTGAAGAGGGCACAGCGATGATAGTCGCATCAATGCTCAAATCAACGGGCAAGGAAGGGGTCCCATTTCTCGGGTTCTGGGCCGTTTCTCATGGTTTTCCTTCTTTAGTGTACCACTCACCATCGCTAAGGTTAATTTGAAATGGGTTGCCTTTCCAGCGTGAATTCGTCCTTTAACTGGAGTGAAGAGGAACATGTTGGTGCATAGATCCATAGACATGAAACTATGCCAAGCATTTTCTTTTAATAAGTAGGCTTACAAGAAGGTGTACTCAGCCAGTCGCCATTCTGCTCCGAATTGCCTCACCTACCCTAAACCTCCCATCTTGGGCAAAAGCTGGGATTAGTGTAGGCGAAACGGACCTCTCCATAAGGTTGGACTACATATTCCAACCAATTATATTAGTGTCCCCTCTGTAGTACATGACGTCACTGTCGTGGTTTTAAGATTACTATGTTGTAACATAGTAGAGTGTTGCGCTGGTGTTCCTTTGAGACTGAGGACTACACTATGCGATATTAATATCAACGAAATGCTAGCTTACAGTTTATGCGGAAGCTTAGTGAATTTGAATAGTGAATTTGACGCTTCTTCCTCCACATAAGGCAAGCTTCGGGATAAATAGGTGTGGAAAAGCGTTCAGTTATGAAGCTAGAGGTGGGAGGTGGTCTGGAAAAGAGAAGGAAAGCGAAACCACCGATTACGCCCCGCACAGAGACCTCCCCTATTTCAGCCGCATTCCACCTTGGGATAGAGAAGGGCGCGTTGGACGAGTTTCACGAACCTAACTCTAGTTGCTCCAGTGCCAATACATTGGGTCGCAATGGGACCGCTGCCTCAAATGCGCCCGCGCTTTTCAAGCAGCGCCACGTGGCAACCGACAGCGGAGGGTGGGGCTTGCGGACGAAGGTGTGAGTTGCGGGTCGGACGAGCTCCTTGCGCCTTTGTCGCGCACTTTCAAGCGGCAAAAGGGGCGCGACATCAACGCTTGTCCGCCTGTCTACTACCCCCGGGATGGAACAGGCGAGCGCGCCTAATCCCGGAGCGTGCCTTTAAAGGCACAACCAGGCAGAATTCGTGTGAACAATTATCTTTGGTCCATAGAGTAGAACTCTGAGGATAATTACAGATGTGGCGCTCTCGTGCACGGAAATCACTCGACAGGGGCGCTCGAGCCTTGCGAAGTAAGCTGCAGCATCTGCAATGTAATGTCTGGTATCATCTCATTTGTTGCACTCTCTCACCTCATTGTGCCCTCCCAGCTCAGTATCTTATCGCCTTTAAACAGGTGAACAAGCCTTAATCGAAACACTTTCGACGGAATTCTTTTCCTTTTTTCTTTACTGCCGGCCCACTTCGGCACCAATACATTCACATTCGTGTGCAAGAGCCACACCAGTTTGATCCTGGGGCATGCCTTTACCGAGCACGTGGGCGACGATAGCTTTTTTCCTTTTTAGGCAAGAATCAGGATTACCATGATGGGTTAATTCCACTCAAATGTAAGAGTAGGGATGGGAGGTGGACTGCAAGTAGAGAAAAAAAGGAAATATGAGCATTTTGCTCCATGCTGTGGAGAAGTTCAAAAGACAGGCAGGGAGATGAGAGATAATGTGAGCGCGGAGAGTGGTAGAGAAGTCCGAGAAGAGAGAGCATAGCAGATCAACGTGGCGACGCAGACAAGATATCGAACGGTGGGCGGACCATGTTAAGTTTGGTGGAGTCTGTTAGAAGTCCATGGCGCCTAGGGTCCTAGTGACGCGTTTCGATGTAGAAAGGTGGCGCTACCTTTGCACTTGCGTACCCAGCACTTCTAGCCATGGTAAGGGCTTCTTAGGTGGGTCTGAGCCCGAACTTTGCCTTTGATCTCAATTGTTAATATCAGTTCCATTTATAAAACTAATAATTAAAAATTTATTCGTCAAATACATCACGGAAGTGATTGAGTATCAATGAAAAACAAAACTAAATAATTCAGCTCGTGGACATATAGATCTTCATCATCAGTGATCAATTTCTACGGCTAAAGCCACCAAGCATAAGGCTGCCTGCTTTCCATGGCTTTGCTTGCGAATGTGATCGGGATCCTCGAACTCTCCTTGCTTGTTTTATATCTTCTACTGAAGATTGCCGGCGATTATGCTTGCGTGCACTGAAACAAATTTCAAATACTTAATTTAGGTATGCGTGAAAGATGTGGTACACATGTAAAAACGTTCTTCGCAATATATACAACACACGCTAAGGGCGGAAGTAGTGTAGTAGCAGGCAGCACTATCTATCGCACACAGTAAGGGGATCGAATACTATAGATCGCGTACGATATCTAGGCCAACCAAGCCTTCCATCCCTCCGGGGTCGGTTGGTTGGTACCAGACTTGTCTGGGAGGATAAAAACACTGACTTGTACATCGGCTGGCCCCCGCAAGTCATGTATAGGCCAAATCGTATCAGTTGTCATTACGATTTTGAGTTTAAATAATGCGTGGCACAATCCAAACAGGGACTGATTGACGGCGATTGCTTTGATTCTTTTAACACATTGACGACATTGAGACGCGGTAACGCGTCTCACTTTGCGCACCTCGTTGGACATTGAGACGCGTTACCGCGTCTCACCCTTATCATCCCTTTTTCTAGGGCATGCGCAGCTTTTTCCCGAATTGTTTGTCTCTCTTCTATGGATTAGAACATAACATTATTGTGAACGACATAGGTCATTGTTTGTTCAAATATGCTCCAGTTTAGAAGAAGTTTTCCAAGCTCACCGAAACCGGCGGCTTGGTTCATTAATAGTTTTCATGCTATTCTCATGAACACGTCAATAAAAAAGGGTAGTGAAAGTAAATGCAAATCTAAAGAGACAGAAAAATACATGTTTCACTTGGTATAACCACATCAAAAGAGCTTTTGGCATCCACTACAGATAAAATGACTAAAGTTTCCTTTTTCATTACCATTACATGTTCTTTAATCGGAACTTCGTCACTATATACTCTATTACCTTCTACGCATTGACTGTTACTGAGATGTTTTTGTACCACTGGTGCTTTAAAAAGTTATCAATAAAAATTCACGGATCCGAGGTGCGGCGGTCGCACTCGCAAAATCGGCCCGGTCCCACACGGCCAAAAAAGCCAAAACGCGCGCGGTCGTCAATGTGTTAATCTCATTGGGAGGCCCTGATTAGTTGTAACATGTTAAACCTCTGTTTCTCAAGACCCCATACTAAGCGAAGTGCTCTCGCACTGCGATCTCCTCAGAAGGTCGCCACGTTCCAGGTCGAGTAAGGTGCGTTGCACCTGTTCAAATCAAGGGATAGCTGCCTACGGAATCACGATATTCCGTAGTACCAAAAAACGGCTAAACGTCAAATAGTTCAAGAATCCTCCGAGAATTTGAGTTCATCAGAAGGAGCAGATTTCCCTTTACAGCTCGACACATGAATCAGATGAAGGAGGATTTCAAGATAGGGACGGAGGCCGAAGAGGGGAAAATATACCTAGTGCAAAGAAAGGTGGACCTACGAAGGGTGCTGGCCGACGCGCATTCGTATCAAAGGATATGCTCTCGGCGACCTAGCATGTCCCACCTCGCGGCGTTGTTGACGCGCAATCGGCGCAGTATGGCCCTCTCGCTGTCTAAGCCTCTAGCCGTTCAGCAGAAATCAGATTCATCACATCAGCGGGCATGGCAAGGGACCCATTTTTTGGGTCCTGGGACGTTCTCCTTAGTTTTTTAGTCATTCGCGCATCACTTACCATTTTTAGCTTTACATATTTCCAATGGGCCGCATTTTCATCATAAAACCGCCTTCAGGTAATTATGGAAAATCATATAAAAAAGTGCAGGAGAATATCCGGTTGAGAAGCGGCGGAAGCTATCTGAGCCACCTAATACGTAATACAATTAGCGAATAAGCACAAATTGCTTCCTTCCTATCCTAGTAAGTACGTAACACACAGGAGAAAAATGGTAAGTCGAAGTAGCCGTTTGAGATGATCTGTTCCACTTGAAGCTTCTTTGCACACTGGCAATAGGCATCTTATGGTTAGACCTGAACGCTTACTATGCGGGTTTATGTAGTGCTTGCAAGACCAAGAGTTTTGATCCTCTGTGATTTCTGTATTTTTCAGAGGATATCTATGCAATTGAAAGCCACTTTTGTATGGTTAGGAGACGTGATCTTGCAGGATTGTGCTGCTGGTAAGAAATGAAATCATTTCGAACGATGCATGCATGGGTTCGGCCGCTTCCTTCTTTGTCCTCCACCCCCCCCCCTCCACACTAATTACAACCTGGTAAGAATTAAACTGAGGGCGGAAGTGGTGTAGTGGCAAGTGGCACGCTTACCACGCGAGCGGTCCGGGGATCAAATCCTGGGTCGTGAGTCGCCCGGGCCAACCAAGCCTTCCATCCCTCCGGGGTCGGTTAATTGGTACCAGACTTGTCTGGGAGGATAAAAAACACTGACTTGTACATCGGCTGGCCCCCGCAAGTCATTGTATAGGCCACATCGCATTCAAACGCCACTACGAATGTACAAATGGAAGTAGAATGCGTGCCGCATCCCAAAAAGGGATTGATCAACGGCAAATGCTTTATCCTTTATATCCTTTTAAGAGTTAAACTACCAATTTTGCCAAAGATCTGTGAGTGTCGGTAGAATGGTATACCAAAAACAAATCTTATATTAATTTGCAAAAAAACAATGTACTCGCATTTGAAAAGGGAATCGTGGCATAAGAGGGCTCGAGAACTTGCGTCTGCAAACGCTTTGGCTTCGAACGTGTACGATATTGGTCAGGAGCCACAAACATTGAGAGATGGTATTTCGTCCATTGGCTCACATTTGCTTTAATTAACTCACTTTGTCTTACAAAGCCTTACCTCCTTTGTCGTGGGGTTTTTAGTCTCGACAACTCCTGTAATCATCGTGAGCAACTCTTTCCTACCCTGAGAATAGATTGTTCCACACGGCATCTCTTCTTGCTTACGGTTGTTGCTTTGAGGGACATGGGATCATATACGGCATGGTGATGTGACAGACTATGCCCAACCGGAGGACAGACGGGTGGCCTTTGCTTTGTGAAAAAATCTCAGGTTAGATAGCATTATAACTAACTAGTTAGTTGATTTTTCTCTCAGCAAATCTAGCATGACTAATTTTACTGCCAAACGTACCCAGTCGCTTTAGAAACACTAAGCAGCTGTGGTGCAGGTACTTGTATAGTTGATATGCTCCCTCGAGGTGAAGAAGCTTCAGGATTCTTTGTGCTGTCATCAGTGTCATTTCCCGATGGGATGACCACAATCTGCGGTGAGGTGAGAGGTGGTATTGAGTGCGATGTTGTAGGAGGCGGCTGCTGTTGAGATGAAGCCATAGACAACCTAATCGTAGAGCTCAGATTAACAAGAGTATCAGAATGTTGTACACAAAGTTCAAGAACACTTTTTCGCTATACAACGAGTCAACCTTGCCACATTGAGAAGAAGTTGGCCAGTTGACGTTATTCCTTCGTATCCACCGGTAATAGTCATGTGTTTCGTTAGCTCCAGCCTGTTCTGTCTATCAATCTCAGCATTCTGCTCCGCAATGATTTCCATTGTCCTCCTAAGTAGTACTGATAGATTAAGAAGAAACACTCTAGCATCTTTCCGGTTTATTCAAAACTTGCCTTAATGCTGCATTCTTCCCACCTGTTGCACCACTCACAAGCCATGACTCAGAGTTCAAGTTCGGTCTTAAAACGACCAATTTGACTCATTGAGAATAAAAGCTAAGGAATATCACGAAAACTCTCACCGTAAAGAAGATGTCCAATACGCCAGGAATACCATCAAAGGAACCGAGAATATGACAATAGGAATAATGGCGAAGTTCATAAACTCCGTCATTGAGTCGAATCTTGGGTACTTCTCATAACTTATTATCGACCAGCCGAGACGATTCGAGATCTCAGAGAGATGTTTAGCAATGATATCTGAAACATAAAATTAAGGTGTGTGCTCACCTTTTTGGAATATACCAGATCAGCGAGGGTCAACGTAAGGCCGATGTCATAGTTTGCGAATTCAGCGATCACTGGATACGAGTGTTGCACCAGCAAGTTGAGCTGTGTACCAGGGGATCGAACGATGTTCCAGCGACTCGACGCTGTGTGAAAGCGGTTCCTTAAAACGGTGGGTCCCGCCACTTCTAGACAGTTTCGAGTCACTGGTACATCGTTCATTCCGCTGGTCTATAGTTCGATCCGCTGGTACATAGCTTCGATTCGCTGGTGCAATGCACAGCGACTCGCTAGCGAATAGCTGGATTCGCAAATTATGACATCGGCCTAACCAGTATATCTACATGAATTGAGGGAAGGATCGTTTAACTGTAAATTATTTTCAATCCAACAGAACTATCAACTTCACTATACCAACATCAACTTCTAAAACTTTATTGCAAGCACCTTAAATTCGGTCACATCGTGGCTGAGAAGCATGAGATCATCTTCATCCACTGTTTCTCGAATAGCGCAAGCTTTCGTCGACACTCGTTACTTTTACTGCATTTTTTAATGGCTTTGCTACTCCTGTACTTGTTCATGCACATTCAGCTCGAACGCCTGACTAAGCCTCTTCATGGACAACCAAAGATTTTCGGAAATGATATGACGTGTCTACCAAAATTCTTGAAGGAGTTACTTTACCGCCTGGCAACCACACGGGCACTGTCATCATCTTCTAGCGATGAACGACAAAACAATCGCATCTCTACCGTGCAAGAGTATTTTTACAGCATGGCATGCTTTTAACAGGAAGGAATAATTCGTAGCATCATCGAGCGTTATCGAGACACTATGAAATGGGTGTAGAAGCCTTTAGTGGAAAGCCAGTACGGGCGGGTACTCGCCCGTAACGGTAACAACATCGTTCTTGCCGTGTAAATCCTCTCAAAATAAACCTTAACAACTCTTGCACACATTATTGGGTCAAACATCAACCTATGATAATCGGTGATCCAGACTCAGTCCATAAATGTATTTCATCGCCACCGTGAGTCACTATGCCCTTTTGGTCTACTTGGACTGACTCTTCCTTACTTTGGAAGAAGAGATGCGCTTTTTCTTGTAGGTGTATTTTTTGGGGAAGGCCACTTTCTCTGAAACAGCTGAGAAGGAGTGGTCCTTCAGGTCGAGATCGAGGCAGGGCGTGATATTTGTTGAAGGACAAGACAAAGACAACACGGAAGGAATGGCTCAAGTACAGCCCTGAACACTTTACCATCCTTGCAAAAGCTCGGTCCCATTAGAAAGCTCATCATTTTCCCGCAAAGTGGCTAGTTAAATCGGCAACAGATGCCTCTGTGTCTGACAGCAAATATCTGCATCCAGATCATCTTTCAGTCCGTTCATTCTAGGCACCGGTAGAATGCAAGCTGAGATCACGAGCCATGCCCAGACTGTAACAAGGATTGGGCGCAAGTTGTGAGGAAAACATTTCATTCCATCGGGTTCCTCAGGAGTACAATTGAGTACTGTACAAAACTAACGATTGCGCCCTTTTTTCATACTAAACTTCTCTTGTCCCTGAACATTCATGCATGAGTTGCTATGTTAAGAGTTTCGTGTGCTTTTGCTGATTTGTGTCATTTTCGTCGGGCTTATACATTACTCGGGGAATGCCAAGATATTCAGGAATTCACCTGCGGCAGGACCAGCTAAACGCCATCATTCGGAGCTTCCATAAAAGCTTAACATCGAGGCAAGTTCCCGAAATCCAAATAGTCTATGCGAAGCGCTCAGACGTTTTGAAGAACGTCAAGGGCACTGAGTCTGCAGAAGTTAGAGAGAAACCAGGAGTAGTGAAAATAAGTCGGTTTGCCTATAGAAACATTGTGTGATTTGCAAGGAATGACCCTCTCACTGCAGCCGGAATCCGTCGCAGTCTTGACGCCCGAGGGCACAAATCTGTCCCTAGACAACGTAATACGTCGCCTGAGAGAGGCTGGACGTCGATCAGTGAAGAAACCGCTGATTTCCATCAATAATCGCAGAGCGCCTATGGCCTGTTGAAAACGGATACCAACCCAGTTACCAGCTGTCAACTGTGAAGAAACGGGGCGGTGTGGTGATGGTGCCTGGCAGCTTTTGTGGCAAAGGAGTTGGTCATCGAATTGAGAGTAACTTACCTCTTACTCCTCTTACTTCTTACCTTCTAGTCGTCACGGGCACGCTAGAAGCGCAGGCAGCTACTCGTGCGCAGGTCGCACATCTTCTAGGCCGCTCTGCTTCGGGCTCTTCTGCGCCACAGCTGGCCGTACAATTTTACGAGAGGGTCTGCCCATCGGGTGGGGGTCTGCCTCTGGGCCTTGTTTTCCCCTTGGGTACCAGTCAGTCACTCTCTTCGTCCAGCGATCATCAGGTGAGTCTAGCCGCTTGGAATTGTAGATGGCATCGACGACGTCCTTCACCATCGTACGAGCGCGGATGGTGTCATTGGGTATGCGGTCTCGGAGCGTTACACCGCACATGGCCCTCTCCATGGCTCGCTGAGTGACTGCGAGTTTCTCCTCTTCAGAGACTGTGGTGCTCCACGTCTCCGCCCCGCATCGCGGGAAGAACATGCGAGTTGAAGACGTGAGCTTTGACTTTGGGGTCTACGTGCTTAGAAGTTAGTACATCTCGAAGCTTTATTGAAAGCGGTCCAGCCCGCTCTGCGGCGTCGGCTAATCTCGAGCGTGAGATCGTTATTCATGTTGACCGCTTTACCGAGATATACGTAAGAGGAGACTCGCTCGATCTCCTGGCCTTCTAGGAGGATCGGCTGGTACTGAACTTGTTCGTTGTGCATCCACTGAGTCTTGCCGGGATGAATTTGTAGTCCGATTTTGCCGGCTTCTTGCCTGATGAAGCTAACATGGATCGCATAGTGTACCCAACCTCATCGGGACTGGTATCTGGTCACATGTCCACAGCACTGCCTAAACTGGGTTGTTTAGTTTCCAACAGTATAATGACCCGATGCATCAATCGAAACTCAGTGAGTGGGTCCGCGGCAAGACTTCCATTGCCGCCGTGACCATAAATCCCCTGAATTGAGTCCTATTGAACACTTGCAAGAAGAAGTAGAACGTCAAGTTGAATGCCTTAGGACTCAAAATAAGCACGGAAATTCGCTCAACTGAAGATCGCATGCAAAAACATTCAGGAGAAGGCTGATAAGCTCATTGAGTCCATCGTGGCCGATGTCAAGCTGTCATAAATGCCAAAGGTTTGGCGACAAAGTATTGATGTTGCAGTTATTGTCATATTTGTTGTAATAATTTGATGTATTGTTAAGTTAGTAATCTAGACAGAATAAAGTTTGAACAAGTAAATGGTGTTTGAACAGGAAAAAACAAGGAATTCTGAAACATTCTACAAGTCGCCAATACAAGTTAGAGTTTGTTATTTTATCATTATGCATTGACAGTGAAAAAATTGGAACAAAAGAGCTTCGAGGAAGTTCCGTTTGGAATAGAGAAAACTCATACTACACTGCGTGGTACTGTATCAGGTAGGCTGAGCACCAAAATGGGCAATGCAGACGGCAAAAATTTCAAAACATTAGAAAAACTAGATAGTGGGAAAAAGAGGGGAAGGTGTGCACCGAGTTGTCAGGTCAAGTTACCTGCGGTGGGGGAGCTATGTATGAGGTTTCTCGCATCTGTCTCTAGACAGAAACGAAAGCCCAGATAGGACGCCGGCCTCGTGTGACTCTTTACACAATTTTCTTATTGATTTCGAGTCTTAACCAGGACCTCCTAAAGTACGACGGTTTTAGATGACGGACATACGTGACCATATTGCAATTAAGCCCTCATAGCGTCTTTTGTGTGACTCAGTTTGAAGAAACCAACTATTACGGATGTATATCCGCTGCTCGAGACAACTAAGCTCTCAGGACCCGCCTCCGATTGTCACCAGAAATCCTCATCTCTTCAACAAGCCACAATATTGTCAGTAGCCTGGGGATTCGAATTCTCATGAGAAAAAAGGCACACCTTAGTTCCGCAAGCGAGTTGTTGCTCAATATCAGCTTCACAAGATAGAAGTATTTTTTCGAGTAGGACGCTACGTACATGAGTCGATATCGCAGCCCATATTTTGCATGTTGTCCAACTGGTTATGTCTCTCGAGTAGGCTCCTACAACAGCTGCGATCGTGCCCGAGAGTGCCAGTAGCCCAATGAACCCAGAATGATCAGAGTACTCAAACTTTCTCAAGACTTTTTGGACAAGAATTACGGACGGCCACCATATCAAGAAAAATGTGAGGCAGTGTTTCTATCGGTACTCGAGCAACCATTTGTTATTGGTACTCAAGTAACTGATCGCGACCAGAAAATCATAGATTCAAAAGGAAGATAGCAGTGAATTTTGGTGCAGGAGGCATTTTCATGTTTTCATTTACTAAATCACATTTTTTGACAACCGTTGCCATCGTTCTTGCTATCGTTGCTATTACCACCTTTTCTGAATTTCCTGGTACCTTCGTGTCATAGAATTGTATAAGGTGATCAAATATTTGCGCCTCTTCATCAAATGGATATTACTACATGGTCGAAAATCATCGTTAGTCAACCAGTGAGTACATTTGCCCTCAGAAATCCGTATTTTCACGTAAGATCTTACTTATTCGATATATTTTTGTCGGCTCCACTCAAATGCGAGATCCACATTCACATTTATTTTGTGATAGTAGTAAATGGCTAAAGAGCTGCAGGTCTTGTCGATGAAAACTGGCTAAATCGGCAACTAACTCCCTGACTATCTGACAATTTTTCCACTGGAAGATATGAGTATGTGCTACTGTACCATGTAGTGCCATGTACTTCTTCATGGCTTCTTTTGAATA